TTGCCCAAAGCGGCAACCTAACCGCACACACGGAGACGCACAACAAGACCAAGCCCTTCGCCTGCAAGCTCGACAACTGCAACAAGCTCTTCACGACCCGAGGAAACCTCAAGGTAAATCGGCACGATAAATTTAGGGGGTTCTCTTCTGATGAACTGCACAGAACCACCAGAACAAGTACCACGGGGACACCATTGGTCGTCTTGTGGACTGGATCGTCTCTCTAACGGACGTCGACGCGTTGTCGCCCGAAGACAGCGACCTGCTCTGGTACTTCTCCAACATCTATAAGAACAGTAACAAGGGCATCAAGGGTCGTGGCCGAGACCGCCGGGTTAGTAAAGTCCGTATGCGCAAGACGAAGCTCTTCTCGTCCGGCATGGGCCTCTCCCGATCAAGGATGCTCGACTCAACCTTCTCCCACCTGGAATAGGCTTCTGAGCGACGAACATGAATTGACTAGGATTACTTTGTCACAGTTGGGTTTCTTTGTTCTGGTGGCTTTGGAGCCTCGGCGCGGTGAGAAGGGCGTACAAATGAATCTAATGAGAAGACTGAATGAACGCCTAGTTCAGTGCACTCGTGCAAGAGGTGCTCTCACGCTTTGTGCCTGTCTCAACTGCAGCGATCCGCGTACCCTTCGTGCAAACCATCCAGAGACTTCCTGCAACGGTAAGGCTGCTAAGGCTTGGAGGCAGCGGCAACAAGCCCAGTCGTGACCAGGAAGGCCGAGTTGAGGTACTGACGGAACGTCTAGCTGTAGCGGGGTCTCGGGAATGGGCGAAACAGAATGGCTCGACACGAAAACCGGTGATGACGTCCCAAATCTTGGTCTGGAACGAGTTAGCAATGTTACTCGGGCACTGCCGAGGAGAGAAATGACCAAGGCTGCACCGACGAAAACTAGTCCGGATTCTCCATGGCCGCTAACCTCAAGCAAAGCGTCAAGACCTAGGTAGCGTGCGATACTTGTCGGAGTCTTTCAAGCTGCTCACTCGGGAAGTGCAAAGACGCGGTCTCTGGCTGTCCGAAGAGGGCATCCGCTAGAAGATGCCAGGGAGTTGTGAACGCAGACTCCGACTGCCATCTCGGGCGAGCGGCCCATTACAGGCTTCGACATCCGCACATTCAAGGCGAAGGAAGCACGGAGGTCTGGCGCGGGCAGAGATCTGACCTGGAAACAAAGACAGGAGGCGGAATGGGTTGAAGGGGAGTGCTGAGACCCCCAATCGACCCTTCGGCAGACCACCTTGCAAACCATTTGGGACCTTTCCCCCTTGCACAGCGGCTGGTTCAAGGCAACCACGCCGGAGTTTACGGTGGAGTAACGGGCGTCAAGTTGCAAGCCCCTCTAAGCAGGCCCCCTTAATTAATGGGCGCGGGAGCCTATAATTTACTTGGTGACCCAAAAGACGATCTTTGGTTTCTTCTACTTGAACTCCTGCGACTGCCAATGCCACAGAAACCGACACTACGTCACACGCAACTGGTTTTCTCCTTTGCCTTAAAACATGGACCGCCACCCTTGCATATCAATTCACAGGCTCTCAGACGTATATAAATTCTGAACAGGTATCGCACGCATTCTACGCTTGCCCCCCACAGCTGCATTGCGGTGTAGTCCCAATGCAGATCAAAATGGTGGTCTGGGCTTATCGGCCCCGAAACTCTCCTTTCCCACAGTCCCAGTTCTCAAAATGTCATGTTTGTGGGTATCAATTCGAAGACCACTTGTTCTCGTACTTCAAGCACTTTATCCATCTTCATTCCGACCCTGTTCATACCGAAAAGAGAGTCAGTAGAGTCGAGGTGACAGAAAACCTTAAAAAGAGCGGACCACTGGACAACCTTTCTAATGAAGTAATCGGCACAAGACGCAAAAGACAAACCTTGACCAAGACTTCAAGGCTCATGTGCACCCCATTCAGACATCATCTGAAGCCACTCGATATGGTTACTCTTAGAACGAGGTCTCTCAGCAGAAGCATGACGCGGGGACCGTTGACACGAAGAAGGCAAATAATCACAAAGAACCCATCAAACTTGGTCAAGGTGGAGAGCAAGTGTATCGAAGCCTGTGACTTCCTGGGCACAGAGGCAGGCGCTACTAACCTCAATGACGAGCAATGACAGGCCCTATTCGGCATACAATACACCTTGCTAAAAGACCATCACGACTTCCTCCTCGCTAGCTAACACCCCTCGGCCGAAAAGCCCCGAGGGACTTGGCTGAGCGCTACGCTATGCCTGCCAAAATATGGCGTCACCGGATACATTTGTTCCTCAAGCTGCTCCGACATCGACTGCCGGCATCTCTGGAACACATGCTAGCATTCATCTACCTGGCGTACAGCATGATGTCTCTCTTGTACGAAACGGTCCCTGAATTCGAGGATACCAGGGTGGAGTGCCTTGACTCCTTGAGTCCATATCGCAGGGCTATTGAGGACAACCTCATGATTGTTAGGGAGACCTAGACTGCAGTCAGCCGTCATTGTCAAAGCAAGACCTCCAACAAGGCCCCCGTGGTTGGCCGACTCCATCACCATCTCGACATTCTCGCTCAGCCCGAAACTCTTGAGCAATCGGAGGTAAAGCCACCACCTGTCCCTTTTATTGAAAGGTGTCGTATATTGTGATTTGGGTTCTATCGTCCAGGCTCACGACGAAGGATCAGGTATTCATTTGGAGGCGACGTGAAAAGGTGGACCAACATGGCCGTCATGGCTCCGTTGTTATTTTTCAACATGCTAGTCGTGTCCCATGAAAGTCAGGCGAACCTTATGTTCTCGCCCTTTGTCCATTTACCACACCAACAGTCCCATATACACTGTGAGATATCCAGTTAAAACCCTCGTAGACAAAAGGTAGCGCCGACAATATTGCAAACACGACCAGGTTCGTACCAAAGCCATCTCAAGGCGATACCTCAAGGCGGCTGGAGCACGAGGGCACTTCCTCTGCACGGACGGCAGAAAACCCCAACTTAAACGACGCGGTTATATGCACCGGAAGCTCCGAATCACTTTCGGTCGCGTCGGTATCGAGTCGATCGGCATACTGGGTAATCGTGAGTTTTGCGGGATTCGACGCTTGGTTCGACGCAGAGGCGGTGAGTGTCAAGGAGTCTTTTACAACGAGTGAAGGGACCAACTGGTGGTCTCCTGGGGGTCTCTAGAACGATAGAATAATCGATGTCCTCCTCTAACTCTCAGTCCGTTGATCTTTCTTATATCTATCCCCTCGCTGCGCTCGGTCCTCTCTTCTTGGTTCCTACGATCAAACAACAGGCGATCCCCTGTCGGTTTCATGCCTCCCACAGGTCCTGACACTAACGAACATAGCATCGCAATAGCAAGATCCACAGTACATCGAATCTACCATGCCCGTTTTGTGACAAGATCCACGAAAGCGCAACAGGACTTGTCTACCACTTGGAAGGCGGTTCTTGCCCAAAAGCTCCCCTCGACAGGGCGAAACTCTACGATGCGGTCCGACTTCGCGATCTGAACGGCATCCTCACTAAGAAGCTCCTGATGTGGTCAGGCAATATGGACTTCGAGGCGACGGAACTAGCTTTCAACGCCGATGAAAATGCGTTTAAATGCTACTTCTGCGAGAGCTGCTTCCAGTCGCTGACTTCGTTAAACCAACATCTCCGTTCGCCCGTACACCAGCAGGATCTTTATCATTGTCCGAATCGCCGCTGCAAGAGGGACTTCGTAACACTCGCTGCTGCCATTAATCACCTGGAGAGCGAAAGCTGTAACTTCATGCGATTCACCGCTGTGCAGAAAACCATTCGGCGGATTCTTAACCCTCGACGGATGATCAAGTTTTAAAAAGCGGTGCCTGGGTCAAGTCAAGCGGATACAGTACAACTTCATGAGGCGGCACTTCCCACTCACGCCATATCACTAAAATTCCTACTTATTGTCGCCCTATACATCAATAGCTACAGCGCTGCCACGAGGCAGCAATACATCTAGTTTGAAAGGCGTCATCACATTCTCTGTCCTTCAGATTGTTTGACGTACGGGGCTGCGACTCGAGACAACGGTTGCCACCTTATCTACCGCTTGCTCTGAAACAGCGCCGACAAGGGAGCAGCATATACCTTGAAGTAATCACTCAGGGTGCCGTTTTGTTCATTATTGTGCTATTTGCTGACTTGTGCTTTCAGCGTGCTTTGCAGTGTCGATGACGCGCGTCGACGATAAGGTGCTCATAGCTGACTGAAAAGCGGGCCATTGTGATATATAAAGAAAGTGTTAAGAGGGCTTTACTGCTTATGTGAACCCCGTTTCATTGCTTTGGCTGTGCCTGAGAGCTCTGAATAGGTAGGGTAGGTGATATAAGTCTTGTGATGTGATCCATACTATCTCTCTGAAATATCACTACCTACGTGAGTCAGATATACCCATCTAATTCACCGATCACGTAAACTGCGATTCACGTGCTCCTGAGAGCTGTGAATTCCACTGATCACCATATCGGTGATCCCCTACCAAGATCACCACCCTAGGGAATCCCCTAATATTGGTTCAACACTTACATTGTCTTAATTATAATAAGCACACAATACCTTACGATACTATATCGTCTGAGAGTTATAACCTAAGCCCTTCCTCATAGCAATCCTGACCCTCTCATAGCATTCCCCCTTCGGAAGCTGCTAGGTCGCAATACTAGTATTATGTGCTGTGGGAGTTTGCCTTTTAAGTTATTTGCCGCTATTGATGCGGCGGCGGGGACGAAGAACGGGAGTTAAGGATTCTCCTCCCCCTTTAGAGATTCCCTCTTTAGAGATTCCCTCTTTAGAGATTCCCTCTTTAGAGATTCCCTTTAGAGACAGGCCCTAAATGTATTCCTATTTCATTCCAGAGCTCGTCCAAAAGTCGGACGCCGCCACGAGGAAATAAGTGATGGGCCGCACATTGCAATCATTACATTCGTCAACTACATCTCCGCTCCTGAACGCTACTGCAACACACGTCTGTTCAGACAACCCTTGGTGGAGCGTCTGCTAAGCCCGCCGTAGACCCATGGTCACACGGCAGGATGGCGAACCAGTTCCTGTCCTTCGCCCTCGACATGGCAGCGCTAGAGCAGCACGCGAGGCACTGGTAGTCACAGAGCACCGTCAAGCAGTTTTTGCTGCGCGCAGTCACGAGCGTGACGGCCCTGGCGACATCGGACCGCACCGACGGTGCCAGCATGAAAGCCTGCATCGTCTGCGTGCCGCCGTCGTCGCTCAAGAGCGGGAGGGGAGCCTGCGGGTCTGCAGGGCCGCCGCCGCCGCCGCCCCGGGTCGTAGTATCCTTGGGGTCATTGGTCTTGGTGATGACGACTTCCCAGGCGTCGGAGAAGAGCAGGAAACCGGGGCGACTCGGGCGGACGCTTGTCGCCAAAGACGGATCGTGGCACCGGCTTGCTGAGCGGTAGCAGTGTACGGCGCCCCTCGCCCGCAGCGCAGTTTCCACCAGGTAGGCGGGCCCGATGAGCGGCGTGTCGTGGCTGAGGCGGGCCTGGTCGGCCAGCGCAAAGTCGACTTGCAAGGACCCGATCCGCTGCGTGATGGCGAGGGAAACCGCCCAGAACGGCCAGCCGGGATGGTCTTGGGATATCACGGGAGACCCTGTCGCATCCTGAATGCGGTCATACAACGCGCCCTCCAAGTCGATATGGCCCCCAACCACGTGCACACGCCCGAGAGCCTCGCGATCCAAAGTGAAGTCTCGGAGAATCGAGTAGAAGACGCACACGCCTCCAGAAGACAGGGCGCTCACGTTGCTGCTGCTGCCCGCTTTGCGGCCACCAAAGAGCATCATGGCGCTCTCGGCGAGCTGGCCTTGTGTGGAGCAGGTGATGATGCGTGCCGTTTCTGTCTGCCGCAGGAGAGCCTGTCCCGGCGACCCGACCCTCTTCGGACTGTCGACGAGCGCGTTGTGGGCGTTGTGGTACACCCATTCTAGGCCATCCCTCCTCAGACCCATGCCGTCGGCTACTTCCATTCCCGACAGCATCTGGCACACAATGACGACGGACTCGAAGACGGCAAGCAGACACAGGCTGTCCAGGCTGGGCCGCGACCCACTGCCGGAGCAAATGTTGCATGCACAGAGCTTCCTGATGTCGAACAGGCTCTGTATATACATGACCTGAGCAGCCTGGAAAGACAGGGCCAGTTGCTCGTAGCTGCGGCGTGTCAGGGGCGCCAGCTCAGGAAACCGCCGGACAGAGAATCGGATGAACCCTCGGCCTCCAGATTCTTCGAAATAGTTCCGCGTCTGGACGGCGTGGTAAATGTCCATCCCCGGCTGCTCGAACGCCATGATGCCAGAAAATATGCGAGCCGCGCAGCCAAAGGCGCAGCCGACAAGATCAGACGCCCTCATGAGCTCTGCGAACTCGAGGCCATAGGCTTCACCGAGGCACTCGTGCCACGAGAGACGTCCGCCACTGAACGGCGTCCCTTCAATGCACAGCAGCTTCGCGATGCCCAGCTTGTCCCTCAAGTAGTAGGTCTTGCTGGCCAGCGTGAGGTCCTGCGCGGGAGACGCACCGACGTGCCGAACATCGACAGTCTGCTTGCTCAGGCGGATCAACAGGTGCGGGCGCAGATCTCCTCCCGGCCCCGGTGACCTGTAGATGGTGTTTCCCTGGGCGTCTGATATGCCGACGCCCAGGTCGTACATCCACTCAGCCATGGCTGCGAGCCAGCCCGACCCGAGTCCTCCTTCAACGGTGACGAATGCGTACTGGCCGCGCCTGAGCATCCCGAGAGCCAAGAGAGCCCCGGCCATGTCTTTGGGCGACGGGCACTCGGTTTCGAGAAAGAAGCCGCTGCGGCGCGACTCCAGAGCCTCCTGGAGCCTCCTTCGGCGAGGGACGAGCCTGACAAAGGCATCGACGAGAATGGGAAATTTGGACTGCGACAGGATGCCGTTGCAGGCCTTGACGAGCTGTTGCCACTCATGGAGCGAGGGAACAAAGCCCGAGGGTGGTTGGTAAGCGAGCACGAGATGATGCAGCACCGAGGCAGCATAGTCTTCGTGGAAGCTTTCTCCCAACGCCGCACACAGCGCCAGGAGGCTCCTCCCCTCTGCCGTGGCGCCCAGGGTGCGTGCCAGGCCACGGAGGCCGAAGCCGAACCACAGGACGCTGCCGATCGACTGGTAGCTTGCGAGTTGGTTGAGGGCGTCTTGGACGTTGCGTTGGCCGGACTCGGCGAGGGGGAGGTGTCGGGCGACCTCTTGGCCGACGACGATGGTGAAAGGCTGGACACCCGCGGCCATGAAGCGGCTCAGCACGTCCATGGTGAAGTGAACGGAACGGCTCGACAGCCCGACCCAGTCCATGGAGCCCTGCTGTGCGAAGCTGCTGCCAGCTGGGACGATGTCTTGACTTGGCGACATGATCAATATTTGCTCGCGAGGCTATCGTGCGCCATAGGTTTGTCCGTGGTGACGGGCGAGGTCCGGCGTCATTATACTCTGTGCAGGCTGTCGAGGTATGCTTCGCAGCGTAAGGCTGCAGAGGCCGCCAAAGTTGCCTTGCGAGGGGCAGTGCAACCAGTTTCAGCTCATCAGGAAACGACAATATGAGGGACGCCCTGGTCGTGATTGGCGCCTGAAGATGCACCTTAGAGAGTACGCTGCTCCTTCGGGAGGCATAAGTGTTTCTAGGCACCTCCTCACCCGGCCGTGCCAGGGCGCTGTCGTTGAGGCGCGCTTTCTCTACCGAGGTACCTACTACCTACCTAGGTACCTTGCTTAAGTTGCCTCCTCTCCCTAGGTAGGTGAGGTAGGCACTCAGCATCGTGCATCGTTGAGGCGCCACGTCTAGCGACCAGCGCCATCAACCATCACCTACCTACACAGCAACCTACCGGATACCTCACGCCCATACCCACAGACAAACGTACAGACAGACCCTGTTGGAAGTCGTACCAGAGCTCCGGCAGAGCTCCAGGCAGCCGCCGTAGCTTCCCCTAGCCCAACATCGAAGACAGGGCCATCTCCGAACGACACGATCAAGCAGAACGTGCTTGTCGACACCGTCCGTCTCCATTCGAAATTCTGAGACTACGTTTCGCGTCTGCTGCCGATAATGACACTCTGCCTATACGACGCGAGTCCAGAGGACAAGGCGACGAGCATACTCTCATTTGTCACTCCCTCCCCCGTTGTTCCCCTTCGAAAATGCCCCAAAGTCGATGCAACTCCTGTGAGCCTTCCTCTAGGTACGAAGCTAATGCACCACACCTCGTACAGATCGCAAGCCTGACGCGTATTCTGCTGGGACCCTTCTATACGGGATGGCTTCTTTCAAAAAGGAACTCGTCCACTTCGTCGACTCATTTTACACAGGTGCAGTGGGACTGAGGTCGTCAATTGAACAGAGAAAAGAAAAAGTCAGGCCAATTATGTATCGGAACTACTCTGACAAGATTTAGAAACCGAATCATCCAAAGACGCCAGAAAGGGATACTCTATCAGTTCCCCTTGATGCCCGTCGCCCTGCCTGATCCACTGCCCACCCTGTGCTGGTTGCACCGTCTTTGGAAAAAGAAAAAGCTATCCGTTTGCGTTTCGCTGCATTGCTGGGGGTATTTGCGTTTTCTCTTTCTAGAAGAAAAAAATGCACAGCCGCTGTTGTAGTCTTACAGAGAAAAGACGACCTGGGAAGAAAGAAAGCCAGGGTTAAGCCTGCTGGTGTAGCGGCGATTGGCATTTCATGTCCCGGTTGATATATGGCACCATACCGTCGGCTGTGGTGCTTCGAAGAAAGGCGCGTGGTTCGGATGCCGCTGTTGGGCATCGTGTGTGTATTTTTGACCTCTTGGCTGTATGCCCAGGGCCGAGTAATCGTGACTCGTTCGTCTACATCTCATCCACCAAAACATATCACCGCCACATCTATTGCCTGTTCTTGCGGTCGAGTTCGACCTTGCTGTACCACGCAGCGCCAAACATGGTAAGAACCATACCGGCGCCGTTGAAGAGGTGGACCTCGACACCAAAAGCGATGATGCCAAGGAGAACTGTCAGGCACTGCTTGAGGTTACCGCAGACGCTAATGGTAAGGGCACCCGCAACCTTGTTGGTCTGGAACGAGGCGACGTTGAGGCCGAAGGCAAGCATGCCGTTTCCGAGGAGAGCGATGATCGTCCAGGTGGCGATGTTGCCCTGGGCGCGCATCTCAGCAAGGCCACCGAACTCGCCGGCGGCAAACGCGCAGGTCAGAGACTGCATGGCAGCATATGGAGACATGCGGAGGAGAACCTCCATGGCGGGAAGGGCAAGAGGGCCAGTCATGATGCGGTTCGTCGCAACGGTCTAATGCCGGGTTAGCACATCGTCGCAACCATGGCGTCCTCAGAATCAAGGCTCGGGGCAACATACCTTGACCGCAGCAAGAATGACGCCTGCAAAGGTGAGGAGGAAGCCGAGATCGGTAAAGGTGTACTCTCCAATGGTGGTCAGAGCAGCGCCGAGCATGATGGGCACGAGTGTCATGTACGTCATGGTCTCGTAGGTTCGGGAGAAGATGACGCGGTAGATGAGAACGGTGAAGACAGGCACCGAGGTGCGCAGGACCTGGTAGAAGGGCACGGAGACCATGGCCAGTGAGAGGTTGGACACGGCAATGTTGATGGTGAAAAGCAAGCTGAAGGCGAGCAGGATGAGATTTTCCCGTCTGCCCAGGCGGGACATGGAGAAGTAGCCCATCTGCAGCAAGCCGTAGCAGCCAAGACTGGCGCAGGTGGCGTGCAGACCGGTCAGGAGCCATGGGAAGGGAAACTAGTAGCATTGCAAATCAGCATGGCAATTGCGACAGGAGGGAGTAGGCAAAATGGCTGGAGGCCTGTCTTGGAGAAAGCCAAGTGAAGAGGACTTGACACACAGAGGCCCAGGCGAGGAGAGGGGACAGTCACGTACCACGCCGAGGACCAGCTTGTTGTACAAGGTGAGGACCAAGCTGAAGCAGAAGTATGCGCTGAGCCAGGCAAACTTGACTTGGGGCAACGTAGAGTATTCGACAGGCTTCTCCTTGAGCTTCTCGGTCTGGCTGTCGACAGCGCCAGCACGAGCCTCGAGGTCGAAGTTGTCGCGGCTGTCAAGCTTCTCGTCGCCGTGCAAAAGGCCATGGCCTTCCTCGCTCCTTCGAGCCTCCAACTTGATGCCGTCTTGGCTATTCATGGTGTCGTTTATTGGGGTCGTCGTTGGCTGGTGTCAAAGATGGGTCGTGAGTCGATGGTGATCGTGACAAGGAAAGGAGGGCTGTCGGCGACGGTCGTCGGAATGACACGTTCGGGGATTACTCGCCGAAGAAGAGCGAAAGCGAGCAAGAAATTCGAAGGTGGTGAGTGAATGAACCCAGGTAAAGACTGCAGGGCGAAGGGATGGTTGACAAGGGAAGCGAGGCAGGATGCTGGTTTCACTCTGTTCTTTGTCGACACAATCGTGCTCTCTCGTTGCTGGGACTAGAAACAAATTGTGTCAAGGCGAGTAGGTTTGGCCGGATCTATCGTGCGTTGACCCGGACGTGTCGATGCGAAGCCAACAGATGCGCTGCACGAAATGACGATGGTGACGGGGAGGGGGGATAACGCGGCGCCAAATGTTACACGAAAAAGACTTTGTCCAGCCACGAGCACGCGGAGTTCGGGGTCAGCGTGAGAAAAGGAGGTCGGGAGACACGGGCCTTGGGAATTGAGAAGCAGGCGACGTGGGGTGGTCGGGTGGATTGGCAGGATGGATCGGATTGTGGGTGAAGAGCGAGCGAATGACAGAGGCGAGAAGCAGAAGGGAAGGCAGATTGGCAGTATAGACAGGCAAGCAAGAGCAAGGGGGGCCAAGACCGGGAAAGCAGGCAAGACCCAGGGAAAAGGAGTCGAGCCAAGGAATGGCTTCGTCGACCTTGCTCGCTTGAAGTCTTGGCAAGCGTGACTGGGTGTTTCGGCTGTTGATTTGCAGTCCAGCTGCACACTGTGTCGTGTCGGGGGGGGATGGGGCGTGCCTGGCATTGGCGCGGTCCGCTGGCTTCTTTGGCTGGAATTAGCGGGCTCTGGGGGAATGAGGTTCCGGAATGCGGCAGGCTTGGGGGCTGTTTAGGGGGCCGGCGGGGGCTGTGCCGCTAAACTTCGAGGCAATCAATCCGCAGGTTAGTCAGCCGCACCAGGGCGCACGGTTTGCCGCTTTTGGTTGGGCACTACCCTTTCCAGGTGGAGGCTGGCGATGCATCCGCGGGCAGACGGCAGGATGACACGGTGAGCGACACCGTGCACACACAGTATTATGTACATGCGAGGGCCCGGAGGTAGGTGGAATGAAGGAAGACGCACAGCCAATAGTGAAAAGCGTCGTTGGATCCCTTGGCAGCCGCGTAATCTCGAGACGGACGCCAATTTTCTGAAGGAGCCGCTCAAACAGGGATGGAACCCTCGTTCTTCCGAAATCAGCATGTCAAACCTGTCAGCAACGTGCTGCAACTTTACAAGTTGATCGGTCATCTGGCACAATAATCATGACTGGCGGAAAACAGATGGTTCTCGAGATGCTTCATGGGCCAGCGTGCATGGCCCGATCACCGACCGCCCGACAACCGACTGGTGAACGCCTGGGTACATACACTTAGGTAGGTAGGCAGGGAGGAGGGATGACACTGGAAGCAAACTCTGGCGAAGTTAAGCTTATCCACACCCTGGCAGCAAGGACAGCCCAGGCAGTTACAAAACCATCATCGGCGGCTGCGAGGCACGCGACTGGTTCTTCGACCACCGAGCCGGCCTTGTAGAGGGACGGGATCGGGGAGCCGCTCGAGTGCTACGCATACGGCATATCTTATTACCATCTGACTTTGCCGCTTTACCCTTATGGCCAATCCCTCGTCCCGGTCTTACCATCCCTGAGTAAGGTCCTTATCTCCAGGGCCGCTATCGCCCTGTGCATCGATGGCGCCGTGTCTTCATTCGCACATGCTGCGTTCCGTCCACAACACTCGTTGAGACTGTACACTCTATTTCAGGCATCGCAGCGTTTGTCCATTCCCACGTTGCGAGACCCGTGAGGGAATATGGCACAACAAGAAGTCTGGGTCACCGTCAGCACGCACCAACAACAGCAAGACTGCAGGACAACATCTAGGCTGAGACCCAAAAGAACACTTCATCAAAGCCTGGACCACGCACGCCCCGTCTCGCGTTCTTTTTCCTGATACGACCCGTGTTCCTAGATGCCAGGCCCATGGCCGATCACGCTGGACCAACGTGCTTCTACAGACAGTCCAAGGTTTTTTATGTTGGCAAGCAGCCTCTTGTCTCGGCAGACATCTGATCAGCACGCTACGACTCGGTGTGGACAGCCCACTATCGCTCAGCGTCGTAGCTCGAACTCTCGTTGCAGGTCAAAGGTTTGCCTGGAGTGGCCCTACTGTCAGGGCATTCGTGGGCCCCGACATGATCTCTATTAAGACTTGGCCTGCTCATCGACACCCATTTGGCATGTCGACATGGACATGAGTAGCAACCCGGCCTCACGATGGGGTGCTCTTTGTGCACACGTATACCAATGTAGATGACATGGAGGCTTATCAGCGATGCGCACGTTTTCTTGGCCCAGAATATGGGACTTGGTTCTCTCCGGCCCGGCAGCTGGCCAAGAGACCATCAGTCGTGGATCGCCCTGCACGCGTAAGCTCGGCAACCTTTGCGCTGGGGTTCCAGTCTTGTGTTTTGTTTTATGTCTTTCCCTCGATCGTCGCTCAAGTGCCTGTCGAGCAACGGCAGCTCCCGTTCATTCACACGCTCGGTCCTTGCAGACGATGCCGCACCTCAGAATAAGTACCTAGACCAGAGGAAGTCATCGGTGACGACGGCAGTATTGGCTGCAGACTTCCATGCGTGCGTAAGGCGCAGTGGAAACACCTCAATCTGATATTGCGATCTACTTATTGTTCAAGCCAATGACACTTTTGCGCCAGGTTCCTTACACTCGCCAACGTTGAATCATCAACAGTAGCGCGTTCAGAACATCGTGCCATGGATTCTGCTGCTGGTGTGGGAAAGCACATTTCGACCGCGTTCTGCCAGTTCAAAGGGCGGGTATTTCTCACCCTTGCGCTTGTTTCAGTCTCCTCGTTGATGGTGATCTTGACCGTCTTGTCGGGCAGTTTCAACTTGGTAAGAAATCTATCATACGTTTGCATACTCCTCCCTGTCGTGCACAAAAGAAAAGTCACACGCTAGTCGCTACTACCTCCCCGTGGTGGCGGAGGTCCTTCAGGAATGACGATTTGGGTCTCGGGTACAGCTTGCCGACTCGATCAAATGTTACTCTCCATCCTACATTCCACGAAGCACTCTTTGGTGATAGGGTCTTCACTGCTTTTCTCCCGTAATGAAAACAAATGGGATCTTGAAATTGACCGGTCAATGTTCATAGAATGAGACCCCGTTCCTCGAACGACCTACGAGCGTCACGTCGCGCCCACCACAAATCGGAGCTCTGCAACGGACAGGTCGTCTTCACTTTCACGTCGCGGCTAGCGCTGCCAACAAACAGCTGTGTCGAGCTATCGTGTCCTCGGCAGTAAACAGATATGGACCTCCGATTCTTGCAGGATGGAATGCAACAAACAAGAAAGACATCGGCAAGACGCACCTGGCAAAAGTGCGCGTCGTGTCAGAACATCTTGACAACATGGCCCCAGACACTGATGATGACTTATTCCTCATGATCGATGGTTATGACGTCCAACTGCAGCTCGGACCCGAAGTATTGATACAGCGCTACTTCAAAGTAGTAGCAGCCGAAGACGAGCGCATCATTCAGCAGCTCGGGCCTGCCCTAGCCGAGGAGGTTGCCGGGCCTTTAGGGCGACACGTTGTTTTCGGCGCCGATAAGGTATGTTGGCCTACAGACCAGAGGCGGCCAGGGTGCTGGGCCATCCCGCCGGTTCCAGGCATGGATGACCGGATGTTCGGGCCCCTGACTGAGTCGGGCGACATGGCCTTCCTCCGTCCACGCTGGCTGAACAGCGGTACGATCATGGGCCCGGTGAAGGAGGTTCGCAGCCTCTTTCAAGCCACTCTTGCGCACATCAATGCTACTTACAGGCCAGATTATGAGTTTCGCGAGAGCGATCAGTTCTACATGACCGAAGTCTGGGGGCTTCAGGAGCTTGGCCGCATCAACGCACAGCTGGAAAAGGACTCAGGAGCGAAGCATCCGAGTCATGTTGACGATGCCTTTTGGCCCAAGCCCGGGCCCGAGTCCAATCATCACATCGCTATCGACTACTGGAGCAATCTCTTCCAGACATGGGCCGGCTACACTGAATACGTTGACTGGCGCACGTTTGATAGACCTGGTCACGCCTTTACCGTGGACCAGAATGTTCGGGCCGAGGCCACATTCAGACCATGGGACCTTCACCTTGCCGGAGACGCCATGCGTGCAATTCACCGCATATTTGCCTCTGCAAAACGTTCTACCCTCATGGGAAAGACGTCAGATGAGCTCATTCTCGAGTCGCAATTTGGTTCTAACATCATCACGAAGACGACATTGCCAATTTATCACTGCACAGGGGCCAAGGATGCGCTGGAGGCATTTTGGCCGCGCATGTGGTTCTTCCCATACATCAGAAGTCTTATGACATCAGCCATAGCTTCTTGCAGAGCTGGCGAGGCATACACGCCGCGGCCTGTCGATGGTAGGATGTGGTACCCAGCGCTGCCGTATCCGGAGGATATTCGTCTCGACGATACGGGCGCGTGGTCGGATGGCAGCGCTGACTCGGGAGAAGTGGAGTGGCTCTCATTTGAGACGCTATGCAGACCGTTTGAGGAGGATATATTTGGATGATCTCTTTCGACATGGCACGATTGTGAATCAACATGAATTATGATGTGCATCATAGCCCTTTTCACGTCGCTTTTGAGAGGACAACTGTCAGAATTTGCACATGGACCATGTTCAACATTGACAGGTCCCTCTAATGCGGCCGCTGTTCCGAAAGCGGAAGTTGCTGTTCTCGTCAAATCCACGATGTCTCCACTAGTGCTGCGTCGCTCACACCACGCCGCAAACCCTCGTGGTTCAGCCCGCAATTTGTCGCCCTTGAGAATTGCCCCTGCTGACCTGTCCACTCTGCAGCCAGGGATACTTCCAATCGCCTCCCCATTTTCCCCTTGCGCGAAAACGGGCCTTCCTGAGTCCTGCACTGCAATATTCCTCGGATCCTGGGTCTATTGGTACATGAATGGGCTCAAGTTAGCAGTCAGATAGCTCGGATGACGATATACCCCGTATTCCGCTCGACATGCTGGAGGGTGTCGGCCGAGTGAGCACGGATAAGCCTCCTTCGTAGGGCTGGAGTAGTAAAAAAAGAAACAAACAAACAGACATCACGAGGCACTTAGTGTGCGCGTTCTTAGCCTAGGCCTGATGGGCGGCATACACGAGTCCGGGCTATGGTTCTCTTTCCCGCCCCAGAGTGTTGAAAGTCTCCGGTGGTAGAGGTCAGCTCCAAGGGCCAGGGGGCTGATGGAGCTGTACTCTCACGCTTCGGGGATGGTGCTTCGGAATAGGGGTGATTGCGGCTGATGAAGTCTATTCAATTACCGTCATCATGTGCGTGTCAATCTAACGAGCTATCGAAGCAGTCTTGTCAGACCACACATTGTATTTTAGGTAAAGTCGGAATCACAGGCATGGTCAGGGCAAGGTGCTCAGAGGGAAGTGAGGTCGTTCAATGCTTCTCGTCGACAGAAGAAGCATTTTCGGCGTACTCCCACACACTCCTCCCTGCCATCAACTCCAGCAACTGTTCTTCGAATATCCCCATCGGCTCCTCTGACAGGACCGTCTCGGGCGGTTGTTCATTACCGACATAAGTCCATACCCAGGGCGATCGCGACTGCGACTCCGACTCCGACTCCGGGGCCCCCTCCGTCAAACGAATGTCGCTCCGCCTGGCCAATTTCCACCTGCCAGCGAATGCAGGGCAGGCCCAGATGGTCTTGCTATCAACATCCGTGCCACCACATGCTAAACGCACCCTGACCGATGCGTGCACACGCTCGTTTGTGTCCTCGAGCCATGCTGTGGTCGGTCGTCCTGTTCGAGGGTTTGTGGCGTGATTGAGGCCAGGAGAACGATAGCTTCGGCCAATGAGGCGCCATACGAGGCCATGAGCACGGTAAATTGTCCCGAGGGCCCATGGTCGGACTTGACTGCCGTCATGATAAATCGGGATTCTCGCCCAGGGACGCTTGGTTGTCGCAGGGTCAGTTGTATAATACGCCATGGACTTAACGACCACACGCTCGAGGCACTTTTCGTCGAACTCAATGTTGACAGACGCAAGTTGGTCCATCATCCCTGGGATCTGTCAGCAGCTCCTCAGCTATACGTTATTTATCAGTACCGACAAGCAAGTGTTATATCAGCCATCGCTTGATCAAGCTCTCCACCGCCGATATTGTTGTGACTACCGGCGAACCAAACTTGTCGCAAATCAGTCGAACCACGATTGCACTCTAGACGTTCCCAGACGGCAGGCTGGAAGCAAGACCGTGTCTCGTCGAGGGCAAGAGCCTGAAACGCATGCTCAATGTGGACTGATAGATTCGTGTCCCAGAAGTGGTACATTTCGTCCCGGAACGATATGCCAAGTTTGTGAAGCTTGTTCAGGAGGGCAATTCGCGGGACCCCAAGGCTACCGACCGTGTCCCAGTAGGCTATGGCCTTGACCTTGATTAAATCTCCGGTGCCCCTGTTCTGCCGGACTCGTGTAAGGCCAAGCTGCTGAGTGTCAGCAAGTAAAGTCTTTATGGTAGAGTTGGCTCAAGAGTACAGCCTCTAGTCTGGCTCGGTAGATTTCGGCAGCGCCATCTCCATGCGGTTTGTTGCTGAAAGGCTTGTCTGGGAACTTATCTCTGTACTTCTTTCCACCTTGAGGGCTTTTCCAGTTCTGCATATCCTTGAATATGGGGTAGAACATCTCGACACCCTTGCGCGTCAGAAGGCCTAGCTTCGAGATCATTCCCGCTACCGAGCGAGCCGTGAAAGCGCCGCGTGAGAATCCGATAAGAATGACCTCGTCGCCGTCAGAATAGTTGGCAGCCAGGAAACTATAGGCTTCCTTGACTCGCTGCTCGGCAGGTTAGATGAGCGTAGGCCAAACATGCATTCGTAGATGGGCCCTTCTCTACCATAGAGATGCCTGAACCAAAGGCTCCACCGATCAAAGTGTCCGCTGTGTTGCTTCCTGTACCGATACCAGACTGGTAGTTGACAATCTGGACGCGACCATCGTCGCACGTGCGCTTAAAGCATCTCGAAATGCGAGTGACGTTGGAAGGGACCTGCAAAGCCCCGCTCTTCTTGCCGAAATCCGGCTTGTTGTATCCGTCATCGCTGTTGAACCATGTTCCGTCACAGCAGACGATGAGTCTCTTGGGAGGGAATCTTACGCTGGCCATTGCATGATACGCGTCTTAAGGATATAAAAGTCATAGGGATCGACATATGGATGCGTTCGTGAACTCAAATGAGATGTGAAGTGATATAGTTCTTAAGAAAAAGACTTTCGTTACTTCCTGTGGCTGGTGGTCCAGTGATTTGAGTGTTTAGATCGGAAGGATTGACCAACTCAAAGCGGCTCTTGCCCTGTCCCCGTTCTTCAGTTCCCACCTAGGCACCTTAAGGTACCTCACCCAGGTACCTAGGTAGGCAGGCAGGTAGGCAGGCAGGCAGGCAGGCAGGTAGGCAGGCAGGCAGGCAGGCAGGCAGGCAGGCAGGTCAGTTGGATCGCCTCAAGGCGCATGTTCGAAAACCCGGTCGAGTAGTCCCAATGCAGAGTGTGGCCCCCATGACCACAGTCTCGCTTGTATCTACATCTTCTTTCTGGTGGCCGCTATCTAAGTACCATGCTTGATATAGCCTTCTAGTTTCCAAGTCGCAGTACAGTCGCCTGGCGTAAGAGTTGTTCTACGGGTCACGACAAGAATACCGCGGAGTTGTAAGATGTTGCAGACTTCGCCGTCGATATGGCGGAGACCCAGATATTTGTAGTAGCGATTGCTTCATTGCAACGGCCTTCGGGCACTGTAGACGGGGCGGGGCTGTGGTGTGCTAATACAGTGTACATAAAATGACACACTGTATTCAACACGTGTGATTTTAAGCTCCAATTTCAATCTCCACCTCAATCCTGGGCATCTCCAGCGACTTTCCAGCCCATCACACACCAAACACCTGAATTTAGAACCCAACATGGCACTGCCGGCGCCCCTGCTAGAGATCATTGCTTGTGCCATGACGGATACAGCCCCATCGAAATGGTGTCAGGCTTTCTTCGCCATCGCAACAATCACCGCGCTATCTGTCCAACTGATTCCCAAGGCCTCTCAATCCCTGCTCCTTGACTACGGCCCTCGCGCAACACAAGCAAAGTACGGCGCCCCCGGAGACCAAGCGGGCTGGCTCTACACGAGTGTCCGACTTGTCACGGCGGTGCAGGTGCCGCACTCGTGGTTCACTCACTTTTACGTCGCGTCCGTGGCGGCATCTGCCTTTTGGGCATACCAGTACTTCGCTGGCAGGTCCTTGTTATTGGCAATAATCACGAAGCAGGCAGCTGTGGAGGGCCCTTCCATGGGGAAGGAACAGGTCTGGCTAGTGTGGATTCTGATGGCTCTGCAAGGTGGACGCAGACTGTTCGAGTGCTTCTATGTCATGAAGCCGTCCCGTTCAAAAATGTGGCTGGGTCACTGGGCTTTGGGCTTGATTTATTATCTTGATATGAGCGTTGCGATCTGGATCGAAGGATCACGTATGTTCCACCGCATGGCACCCCGGCTGGCTACTAACCATGCTGCAGGTTCACTCTTGCATTCCGAGGCAGACACTGCAGTGTCAAGTGGCTTCTCAACCTCCCAGCTCGTGGGTATTGCCATCTTTACCACAGGCTGGTTGCAGCAGCACAAATGCCACCAGTATCTGGCCAGTCTGAAGAAGTATACCTTGCCTGAAGAGGGACTATTCAGGCACATCGTGTGCGCTCATTACACCTGCGAGTGCCTCCTATACAGCGGACTCGCCATGGCCGCAGCCCCAGCTGGACGGTGGTTTAATCGTACGCTCATCTGTGGCCTCTGGTTCGTCATTGTCAACCTCGGCAGCACAGCCCACGGTACGAAGAAATGGTACTCCGAAAAGTTTGGCGAGGCAAAAGTGGAGCCCAAGTGGAAGATGATCCCCTTTGTCTTTTGATACTCACTTGAGCAAAGAGATTCTTTGGTCTCAACGCCCTCCCAGAAACCCAAACTTAGACCCCAGCTTGGAGACTTTCATTACGTCTCGGTATGTGAGGCTCGTGCGAGTTGCGCGTACGTTGTGGCCCTCGCTGAAGCTTTCCGGGGATCCCAGCAGGGCCCAGTTTGCGACTGTTTCGACCGAGAGTTCTACGTCCTCCTCCAGATCCGCGATGCCATGTAAATAATCGGTGTAAAGCGCATCAGTCGTAATCAAAAGGCTCCGCGGCTCCTGCAAGATTCGCCAAATAGGCTTTGGGTCCAAGGCACCGTCCTCTTTGCTCTGATGGAGATTCAGGCACAAGCTTGCACCCAGACTGACTGTGCACACAACCGGGTGGTAGGCAGATCCGTCCTGTATTTGGTCTCATGAGTACTCCTGCATGTTTGCAACAACATACCCTAGACTTGCCTTGTGCGGCATGATACCGACTCCAGGGGGGTATTCGTTGATCAGAACGTGGTTCGGTCGTTTGTGGGGGCTGTCCGAAAACAAGCTGTCGGAAAGATCATCGGTGGAGCGATGTAGGTCACATAGTCGAGTGATGATGGGCGTCTCGAGCCAACGAGGCAGAGGGGCATCAATGAGCTTGTCGTGTACAAGATCGGACGGCCAGGTTTGCAGACGACGGTGGGTAAGCTGCTTCCACCGCGGTTTCGGTGCTTCTGCGATCTTTCGGCAGTCAGCACCTTGTTCTGGGGCGGCTGTGCAAGTCATGTCGTCGCCACCAGTACCTTTTGCAGGATGCTGGCCTCTTCTTCCTCGGATATGAAGTTTGGGATGTAGAAAGCAGATGCTGGCAGCTTTGTGATTTTGGCCTCAGCCAGAGATGGCAGTGGTTGTGAGGTCATGGCGGCGAAGGATACGTGGTCGTTGGACGTGCCTTGTGGCTGTTATCGAAGTCGAGGACAGGACTAAGATGGGAGGAGTCGCGCTGCCTTGTCTTCCCGACTCGTGACCTACAGCTGCTGGATGTGTGTGGCGCTGGTGCCGGATCAGAAAGAGGACCTACTGGAGCCTGGTAAGGAGGTGGGTTTGTTTGCATCCAAAGTAAATGACGCGGTTCTATTGGTTCATTTGACAAGCTCTTCTGGAAGCGAATCGATGAGTAATGAAATCCCAGGCCCGAGACATAGAGTCCCAGCTGGCTTCTATCGAGACCGTGTTTAGGGGGAAAGAGGGTCCCGGCCCCCCCAAGACCAGGAAGACGGCCTGTCGGGTGGCGGGCATGCCACGGTAAAGTTTTGGAAAGATGGAGGCTCCCCTGAATGCAGGACGAGGGGTAGAAACGAGTTTTGGTGCTGCATCGAATTCGGGATTCAGAGAAGATAAGCGTACGGATGGAAGGGAGGCTGGGGGTCATAATCAAAGCAGGATGATGCTGAGGCCGAGCAGCTAGGTCCATCGGTCCACGCCAGGCAGCATGGCACAGTCTACGACCACAACAAGGACACCCGGCCCCCCCTCACGCTCCCCCCCCCCTGGTCCGGCACTGGGGCCAATCAAACCGGAGGCGGGCAGACTTTGAACACAGCACTGAAGACTCGCGAGACCCATCCTTGCCTCACCCCAAACCAGCATCACCATAGACCTCTTTCACGCTTTTTCCAATCTACCGTTCAGCGACCATCGAAAACTCGTTCTTTTCCTTGCGTAGGCGATTCTTTGTTCAATTCCCGATCGCGCACCGCCGACTTTAGACGACTCTCCTCCCCATTGCGACCTCCCGACGACCTGGTACTGATTAGCTGCTACTCCGCCTCCTGGAGCGACCGGTAGACCTGCGCACCATCGCCGCGAATCAATCCCAGCGCGTCCTACACCTCTCGACCGTGGCCAAGTCGTGGCCAGGATGGTGCTAGCAAGTTCCTCGGGCCTCAGATAAATGCCATGGATGCGCAAGATGCTGTCGGGTCCGACAAGACGAAGCCTGCCGCATCACCCAAACAACGATCGACGCCCCAGCCTGACGAGAATGCGAGCGTAAAGGTGGCCTCGAAGTCGTCCTCGTCCGACGGCCCCTCCAATCCCGCTCCGTCACCCACAAGAGATTCCAAGCCGGTTCTCAACCCCCCACGCCCCGCGGATGCGGACGACGATGCCGCCTCAGGCGACCGTGACTCAGATGCCGAGACCATCGTGCTGCCTGGTAAGGATGGTCACTCGCCTTCCAAGGTGAGAAAGGTAAAGCACGAGGACGGGAGCGATGCCGAGGTACAACGTGGCAGGAAGCGCAGTGGCAACGGGTTGAGTCGAGACGGCGACGCTGGGCAGGGCGGGCCGCATCCTGTCAGCGATGCAGCGGCTGCCTTGACACAACAGAAGAAGAGGCTCCGCATCGACAAAGACACGCTTCGACCCGATAAGCCTTTGAAAGGTCAGGAAGGATCAAGCGGCCTCAGCTCTGCCCCCACCTCGCCCCCTCACCACCGAAGGCGAACAGGCCCTGTCGCTCACGACTCCGAGTCTGACGCCGACCGGCGAAAACGATCTCCCAAGCTTTCCATGAAGGACAGAGCCAAGTCCTCCGACCAGCTCGTGTCCCACAAGCGTAAAGCGTCCAGGGTTGGATCAGAAGAAGACCCAGAGGAGCGTAAAGCTGCTCGTCGCCGACGGATCGAGGACCGAGATCGCGCCGACTGGCTTGCTCCCAAAGAAGGCGTCAAGGGACAACACAAAGACCCGAGATCTGCTTCCTCAAGATGGCGGAACGATAGCCAGTGCCGATCTGTCTCTCCTCCAGCGCGTACTCATCGGAGGAGCATCTCATCGCAACTTCCCTCTCAACATTCAAACGGCTTGAGTCAGAAGAAGAGGCGGCTCCCGCCTCCCCTTCGATCAACGGAATACCACTCTGATGAATCTTCTGCCAGCGGTAGCCCTCATCCGCGAAGCTCAAAGATGAGAAACTTGTCAACGCCTGCGACAGCAGACCTCAACATGTCGCCCGCCAAAATGACACAGTCCAAGAAGCACGTTGATGCGCATGGGCAAACTGCTCTTGCTCGCGCCTGCAACAAGGGCGAGTATGATATCGCGAAGCAGAGACTGGCGGAGCGACCAGGCGACCTTAACGTAGCCGATTACGCTGGGAACACCCCGCTGCAAAGCGCATCCATCAACGGTTTCGAGGATATTGTGAAGCTACTCATCGAGGCCGGATGCGATGTCAACTGCATGAACTCTGTGAAAGATACGCCTCTGCTCGACGCTGTTGACAATGGACACCTTGAGGTTGTGAAGCTTCTTCTTGCTGCTGGCGTGAACCCGCGCAAGGCGAATCTGGAGGGAGAAGAGCCTTTAGACAGGATTAGCGATGATCTGGACAACGCGGAAGAGATACGAGCTGCGCTTGTTGAAGCGAAGCAGAAATCCAGCGACCTCCGACGAACTTCAGAAGAACACCACCACGCGGACCAGGCAGACCAATTATCACATGGACCGGACAGCCCCCGTCGTTCACCAGCACCCACGAGTCGCCGCCCTGTCAACTCGCGGGCCACCAAGATTGGCAATCACCATCTCTATGTGAATCTTGACGAGAAGACGTTGAGGGCGGCAGCTGCCAAGGGTGACGAGGAGACCGTTACGAGAGTTCTTCAAGTCAAGGAGCGATATGATGACCCTGAGGCCATGGTGGCGGCTGCACGTGGTGGACACAGCGTGGTCATGGAGCTGCTGTTGGCGCTTGGTGGCGCAAACCCTGATCCGGCCCCAGTCACGAGCCTCCCAAGCGAGTTCGCAACGCCAATGTTGGCTGCAATCGGCCAAGAGAACATTGATGTCCTCAAACTGCTCTTAAGCCAGGCAAACTTTGATCCGACACGCAAGTACCGCGGCTCGTATTACTACCAGATTGCTCAACAACGACAGGGCACCAATTGGAAGGAGGAGGAGGAAATACTAAAAAACGCCTTCGATGCTTATAAGAAATCCCCTCGCGATGGCAAGACGAAATCACCTGGCAAGCGTGGTCAGGAATCGAAACGACCAGGGAGAAATCTGGTCAAAGAAGAGCCTGTGCCTCAGCGGCGAAACCTCTCGAGCCCCTCACGCGACGCCGAACCCAGGAAAAAAGCCGTTCCCAATCGCGCCATCACAAGTCCGAAGGAAAAGCGACGATCAGACTCCTTCACCCACCAAGACGAGCAGACTTCTCCCAAACGCGGGTCCGCAAAGCTCAAGAAGGACGAACGCTTGCCAGCCGTCGCAGCTTCAGACCGTGAGGCCTCTCCTGCAACATCACAGAAGCTCGGTTCGAAGCCGAAGAGAATCGAATCAGATATGGCGGCCTTATCGTCAGAGGGTGAGACCGTCAAGCCACGTCGGAAGTTGGTCTCAAAGGGCGAGCTCCGTGGTGAACGAGATAAGCAACGCCGAGCCAGTATGGTATCGACCACATCCTCCGTCAAGGACCCTGCGAGCCCTCGAGATCCAAAACATGATGAGACTGCCGAAAGGCCGAAGCCTGAGCTCCTCGCCGAGAAATACCATGACAGGACCAAGGCTCTCAAGAGGGACGAGTCTCGCGAGAGGTTGCCGGGGTCCGGCGAGCCTCCTTCGAAGAGGCACCGCTCAAGCGTCACGCCGCCGCACTCCAGCAAGTCTGACAGGGACGGCGCTGAGGGTCCTGCCAAGAGAAGGCGACTCGACACTGAAGGCAAGGAACGGCGTCAAAGAGCAGCCGATTCTGCTGACGAACGATCTCGCTCGACACAAGACGGTTCCGCAAAACCCAAAGCTTCGCTCCGGGAGACCGATGGTGATGGACAAAGGACAACACTGAAACCAAGCAGTGACACCGATTCACATCGCAAGGACCATACTAGGCACAATGACAGCGACAAATCGAGCATCCATGTCAAGTCCGAGGATGTCGATGTCGATATGCGAGACGCCCCTCTCCCGAAGGCGCCGAAGGAACCGGATGATGAGAAACGACGACGGGACGCAGATGTTGAAGCCAAGGACGCACGGCGAAAAGAAGAACGGCAAAAGGAGGCCGATAAGAAACGGCGCGATGAGCGTGAAGCCCGTGAGCGTGAGGCTGAGAAGCAGCGCCTGGTTGAGGAAGAGGAGGCCAAGCAACGTCTGGAAGAAGAGAAGAGACGTAAAGCTAGAGAGGAGAAGAGACGGCAGGTTGAAGAAGAGAAATTGCGCAAGGCTGAAGAGGACAAGAGGATCGCCGAAGCTCTTGCTGAAGAAGAACGTCTGAGGCGGGAGGCTGAAGCCAAGGAGGCCGAGCAGAAGAAACAACGGGAAGAGGCCGAGGCGCAACGTCTCCGTGATGAGGCGGAACGCAAGCGCATCGAAGACGAAAAGCGAAGGCGCAAGGAGGAAGAAGAAGAGAAGCAACGAGAGGAAGAGCGCCTGCGTCAAGAAAAGCTTGTGCGTGAGGCCGCGGAGCAAGCCCGTCGCGAGAAAGAGGAGCAAGCCCGCAAAGCGCTCGAGGATCAAGAGCGACGAGAGCGGGAGGACAGGGACAGACTCGAGCGTGAAGCTCGTGAGGCAGCGCTACGCCAAGCTCGCGAAGACGAAGAACGAAAACGACGTGCTTTGGAACTTCCTCCGCTCCTCCGTTGGCTGGAACAATGTGCTGAGCCATGCACATTGGGCATCGCTTTAAGGTTCCAGCATATTCAGGGTGTGCGTTACGACACGGTGCGTCCTGAAGCCGTGGGCACTCCTGAGGGCAGAGCGCAGTGGCTTTTCAATTTTCAGGTTGCCCTGATTCTAGGCGAGAAGGATCTCCGCCTGGGCAAGTGTAAGTTCGCCTGATTTCAAAGCTTGATGCCTCGTATCGATCTGATTGTGTACTTTAGATCCTTCATGGGAACGCCTCCTCGTCACGGACCTCGCAAAACCCGACCTCGTTAAAAGGGCCTTCTGGAGACTGGAAGCAGACCAGTACGCCCTCACTTCGCACAAGTATCGCGATCTCGGGGCCGAACTGCCAAACTACTATGGTGAAGGCCAGGACGCAAGTGTGGTAGGTTCTTCTGTGCTGGGAGAACTCCGCAGGGATGCGCAAGCCAAGTTCTTGAAAATGGACATGTTCTTGGTCAAGGTATGTTCAGTAATCCCTTTCTCCCGAGTCACCTACTAACCAAATTTGTAGCTCTCGGACTTGCTTAGTGTCATCCCTACCATCGCTCATCTTCAAGATTTTCGACTCAGTGTCGAATATCGAGAAGTCCCAGAAAATGAAGCGCAAGAGCTTGCCTTTCAAACACCGAGGAGATATAGACAAGACCCTGGATCCGAGCGCTTCATGGGGTTCGCTCCCCGCAACACATATTACGTCAACGGACAAAAGGTTGGAGAAGACCTTCCAGGTCTCACAGCCACAAGCAAGGTGCCGTTTCCTGACCACGAGAGACGTGTTCCAAGACGCAATGGGCTCCAACAGGTTTTCCCAGGAGAGCCTGACTATGCGAAGCTCTGCTTTGCACAGGGCCTAGGGCACCTGGTCAATGCTCGCAAGAGTCCCTCTCCCTCCATCCCTAATGGTGTGCACCCTTCGCCAATAAGCCAAACTACCGATATCGACAGTGTGCCCGATGACCACACCGCGCGGCCAATCGTGGTTTCTTCAACAACATTGGAGTCAGACAGCCAACCGCAGTTGGTGAATGGTACGAACAGCAATCAGGAAACAGACCCTGCCTGATAAAGGGGTGCGAAATCATAAATGTGACTGATCTCGTCTGCTTTGATCTTGACGATAATGAAGTACGATCACTCAGCAGTCGCCCTGAAGCTCAGGCTTTGGTTCGAAGTCATCACTTCTCCTCCTGCAAGAGGCTCATCACTTCTCCTCCTGCAAGAGGCTTTCCTTTAATGACACGGAAATGTTTGGACGCTGTGCATTGAGCAGTGGGCAGGTGCTTATGGTGTTGCAAATATATCCAGTATGGCTTCGCAGCATCGGAAAGACACTCTGGCTATTACTGGGGCGGGAATGGCAGTGGTATTGCCATCCTCTCCTGTCGGGCTGATGTACCATTCGACGAAGCGACTTCATAGTGTCCCATGGTGTTGGGCAAAGCGACAGACATGCAATGCGTTTGTCTTGATTTATGTAGCCAACGAAACACACTTTTTTTACTGTATAAAACTGATGTGCCTGTGTCTTTCCTCCTACGTCCTAGTGTGCCATTTGTATCATGCCACTTTCAAGCATGGGTTACCAGCTCAGATCCCAGTCCTGAAAGCCCTGTCGTAGATATTCGCGACGGATCGTGTTAACATAAAGTTTGATCGATGGCATACTGACGCGAGGCCTACATGATTCTTGAGGGCGGACGAACAACCAGACACCGAAACCGAACCATCCGATTTAGCTGACCGAACCAGGGCTCGGTGTGGTCACGGGTGGGTAAAGACCAGTGACATCACAGGGTGCACCAATGAAACTTCGGCAAAGTCGAACCCCGCCAAATTTTTACCCCACCAAGATCCAAACTTCTTGAAATCCTCCCATCGCGCGCAGACCGCAACAGCAGCTACTTCAGAGACACGGCCATCGCGACACTGCAATCGGGAGCAGCGCCCCATCGAAAGAGAGCCACACAGAAATAGAGGAGTAGGGAACACCGCCAAGATGTCGACAACGGTGGACAAGGTAGGCAGGCTTCTCTGGGCTGCTTTGAGTAATGGCTGACTATTCCCACCACAGATCAAGGAGATCGAGGCCGAAGTACGTCTATTCTCGACAAGGACCCAATACCACCATTAGCAACTAACGGAACCCTGTAGATGGCCAAGACTCAGAAGAACAAGGCGACGTCCTTTCACCTGGGTCAGCTGAAGGCCAAACTGGCCAAGCTTAAGCGAGAGCTGCTCACGCCATCGTCCGGTGGTGGCGGCGCCGGCGCGGGCTTCGATGTGGCCAGGACGGGTGTTGCCAGTGTTGGATTCATCGGCTTCCCTTCCGTAGGAAAGAGTACCTTGATGAGCCGGCTCACAGGACAGCATTCCGAGGCTGCAGCGTACGAGTTTACGACACTGACCTCGGTGCCTGGCCAAGTCGTCTACAATGGTGAGCACAGGCTATCAGCTGGCGATTGCCCCTTGCGCCTGACCCTTTGACTTGCACGGACGTGTTCCTGATCCTTGAAATAGGTGCTCCTCTACAGATCATTGATTTACCAGGTATCATCGAGGGTGCCAAGGACGGTCGTGGCCGTGGTCGTCAAGTTATCGCGGTGGCGAAGACGTGCCATCTCATCTTCATCGTCCTCGACGTCAACAAGCCGCTGACGGACAAGCGTGTCATTGAGACGGAACTCGAGGGCTTTGGCATCCGTATCAACAAGTCTCCTCCCAACATTACATTCAAGAAGAAGGAGAAGGGCGGCCTCAACATTACAAACACAGTGCCTCTGAACAACATCAGCCACGAAGAGATCAAGGCTGTCATGAACGAGTACAAGATCAACTCTGCGGATATCTCTATTCGATGCGACGCCACCATCGACGACGTCATTGATATTCTAGAAGCCAAGAGCCGGAGTTACATCCCCGTTGTCTACGTCCTCAACAAGATCGATGCCATCAGTATCGAGGAGCTCGACCTTCTGTACCGTATCCCTAACGCTGTCCCGATTAGCTCAGAGCACGGGTGGAATGTCGACGAACTGATGGAAGCGATGTGAGCCCTCCCCTTTTCTTTGTTGAGCTGCACCCTTGGCCTGTGATCACTCTCCAGTCCGAATCTGGGTGTGAGGTTGATAGACGGAGAAGAGGCAGCAAAGACTGTGCTAACCACCAATGCTCTAGGTGGGACAAACTGAACCTCGTGCGCGTTTACACGAAGCCAAAAGGAAGGATGCCAGATTACAGCCAGCCCGTTGTGCTTCGGTCGAACAGGTGCACTGTCGAGGATTTCGTAAGTTGTTGGATCACCTTGAGGCCTTCGGGACGGAGTAATTGGTTGTTCTAGTACCAGCAGTGCTGACTGAACATGCCCAGTGCAACGCCATTCACCGAAGCATCGTTGAGCAGTTCAAAAACGCTATTGTGTATGGCAAATCTTGCAAGCACCAACCTCAGCGTGTTGGTCTGTCCCACGAGCTAGCTGATGAGGACATTGGTTCGTCCCCCTCTCCCTCCGCGATCAACACCTTCTCCCCCAAGATCACCTCCACTGACACAGATGTGAATCAGTGACGATTGTTAAGCGTTGAGACACTTCGCAAAATGCCATGGAAGACAGTGGTGATAATACGACCCGGAATTCACCAACTCAAGTAGAGGATCGCCAGCTTTTCCAAGCTGAAGCACAAAGCTACTTCCATATTGAGGACCTGCGCCTGAGCATAGACTACAGGCTCCGGTGGCTGTTTGTGTTGAAGGGGCAAGGGGGGGTCTTGAGGCGCAGCGGTAATGTCCAGGCAGGAACCACACCCGTCTGTCCGCGCCGCCTTTGAGCTTATGGGGGACGGCTGACAAGAGGACAGCGCCAAGACAACTCTCGCGATCGAGACAGACTGGCGCACGGATGGTGTTGTGTCCGTCAAGCAGACGAAGCAGCTTCGATGACGCGAAAGAGCACGATCGATCAGTAGATGTCGTTTACCCCAGAGATGACGTGAGAACATCTGGGGGGAATTGAACAAACAAGCGGATTCGCCATGTCTCCCACCATGACTCAAACTTACTTCGCATACAGTTCGTGTCCTCAAAGCCCGGCTCGCGGATCACGCACTCGTCCCCTGCATACGGATCAGAGAATTGAACGAACAAAAAGCGTGGAGCGAAATGCGCCTCAGACGCCACAATGTTCAGGTCACGGTATTTTCCTCGTGTTGTGGTCGAAAAGTCACGGCCAACATGCATAACCGAGGGTCTCTCCTCATGCGACCCTCACGAGTTGTGAGTCCCAGCGACCGACGTAGGGATGCATGCAAGCTGTGATGCAGAGGCCGCCGTCGTGGCCGCATGCGAGAGGGGGGTGAGGCCGGCAAATTTTACACACGGGCGCTTAAAACAAACGCCTGACGACATTTCACGACCTCGCCTCAATCTTCTCTGGACGTGTCATTTTCGCGGCCGAGAAATCATGTGTTTTGACCTTCCAACAGGACGGAGCCTGGGACAATCTGTTGTTGTCTGGCTCAGGCTGGCTTGGTCACTGAGCGGATGAAGTCTCGCCACGGGCCTAGTTTTTGTCGGAAAGTTTCCAGCCAGTGACGGTTGCTGGCTCGATCCTCTCACGCATGGCCTCTTAGACCGACCTTTCAGAAGACTTCTCTTGCCGCCGAGGGCCTGCGCCAGGGGGGGGGGCCGAAGAGGGGGCGGCACACCGTCATCGGGTGCCTGGTGGGTCGCTACAGCTCTGGCGTTGGTGGGAACGGCGCTGGTCCAGGCATCGCAGCCCCAGGACCTGCTTCGTCGGGATCAGCAAGCTCAAGTCAGGTTGGGAAATGCAGCCTGCTCGCTCACTCACTTTGTTTCGACCGGCGGTGGGTGGGGTGCAGGAGAACCAAGACTCGAACGCGGCTTAACCCTGGCCCAGTTCTGCGCCTCACAGACCACCTCGAGAGATGAGGGTTATCAACTGCTACGAATGATGTTCCCCAGCCGCTCCAGCGACGAGGACGCATACCCCCGGATCCTGGCAAGCTGGGTGGTTGAAGCGGAAAAACGAGGAGCCAAAGGACACACAGACCACGCGGGAGAAACGGCTGCGATGCAGGCTATCCGGTGCAGGAGGACACGGACCACCACGGCTTGCCCTGCCGCTTTGGCGCTCTCTTTGCGTTTTCTCCTCCATATGCTAACTACCTTACCTTGCCTATCTGCCTGAGGACCATGGGCAACCGTGCTCTGATGCTACGTGCAGTCCTTTTCTGGGGTGTGTGGAGACGACTCAATAGGCAGAGAAGGATCGAAGGTTGGGATGGCGTGGGAACATCGCGCCCGCTCATGCATTCGATTGTGACAAAAAGGCCACGGGCCAGCCTCACGATGACCTCGCAAATACCATCCTGATCCCAGCCAACTTTCTCAAAGTGTAAGTCATCACCAGTCTTTGCAAGGTCTAGAGGCTTCACGGTCAAGGTCAATTTTGGGAACGCCATAGGAAAGCCACGACTCACCGGACGAAAGCCACCAAAACACCGACATGGTCTTGGACCTCCCTCCTTTCGGCAACGTGCAATCTGGCACTGGTTGGTTCACCCATTGATGCCCGAGCCCCGCTTGTTGCTGCTTGCTGCTCATCGCTCCCGGTCTAGCGATCGCAATGCTCGGATACGATACCGTCATGGCTCTCCCGAGAACATCTCTGCATTGTCATTGGAGCTATCAAACCAACGATGGCGGCAAGGTATGCTCAACACCAGTCACAAGATCGGGAGCGATCGAAGCGATCTCATCCCACTGCGCATATCATGCCGGACTTTTCTTATTTCCTCCGGCCCTTCAGCCCGTCATGAAGTGCTCAGTGGGCATTCTCGATCTTCTACTCCGCCTGTCGTCGCTGCCGCTAGAACCATGATCATCAACAATCCGGCGCTGTCCATACCAGGCCAACAGGGGGAGAACGATTGGCGCTGGAAGAGGTGCCTGAGGTGCTTGTACAAGACGAATGGCCACGGCATCACCAGTAGCGACTGCCAATGCCAGCGAGCATACATGCGCGACGAGCTGCAACCCTGTAATAGTTCGGCATGGTCGTATCGACACGAAGACGCCGTGGACGAGGCATATCCGCCATGAAGTTCCGTACTTCGTCACATCTTGAACCCCCCTCACCTCATCAGCGGATGGCGCCTTTTCAGGACAAGTTCCCAGGGTCACCGGGTCTAAGCTAGCCAGATATACACTACCCATAATGGGATCGATTCCTTGCCTCACCCTTCAAGCAAGGTCATCTGGCAATTTTATCCAATGGTGAGATGAAGAACGCTCTTGTGACCCGCGAATAATGTCCAATGAGAGGTCAGGAATGGGCTCTCAGCATTTCGTTGGACGAAAGTCGATCTCTCCATGTTCTCAGCTTCTTGCAATTGTGGGTTCCCTCGTCTCCTGCTGAAGAAGCCGGGGGCGAGACCTCCCCTCTGCACGGTGGACACGAAGGGAGGAATGTGACCTTGCGGCCGTGAGAATGGAAGGCCGAGACATGGCCTTGCTCTAAATTCATGGTTGTCAGGTGGGTATCGGTATCGGGCTCCGGCTTGAAGGCCGACACAAGCCTCGTCGCGGCTACTGTTCCTGACGAATCTTCAACCGAAGGCCCGTTCCACTAGCCAGCAAGGTCCATCTTCTTAGTGGCTTTCGCAGTGCGGGATGTTTCGACCCGGCCTGTGTTTCGGCAAGACCAGGAAAGTACCGCCGCTCGCAATCAGTCGTTCATCTCCATGTTCAGTTCCATGACAGGGAGCTTCGGCAGGACGCCAGGGCCAGCTCAATGCTTCAACTTGTTAGCCAGCACGATGGATGGCCGAGTCTTGGGGGTTCCATAGCTGTCATGATCATGTGCCATTCCGTGCGGTCTGGGATGCGGCCTCGTTGGCTCGTCGACCTGCGACCGCATCATGCTGCTTCCTCGTTAGAGTCCCTCGTCAGAGTTCCTCGTCAGAGAAAGCGGGGTTCGGAGCATTGGCGGCGAAGCCTTGGCTTTTTCTCATCTTCACTCCATCAGAAATTGAGCATCAAAGCGCGCCGCCGGATCTCGACATTAGAGGGCGGCATCTCACTCAGACGGCCTTTTTGGTCGTCGAACGAGCAGGGTCTAACTGTAGCCGGCCGGGAGTGCGACGCGTGGAGGGACTGATCAGCTCGAAAAGAAGGGACGAAAAATGCGCGAGCCTCCTTAGCACCCCTCACCCCCTCACCCCCGCGACGGCGATGCATTGATGATCTTCGCTCAGTGCCGTGGCTTCCTTTCGGAACTCATGCGACAAGTCTTGATATTACCTGCCTGATCCTAGATCTACGCTTGACTCGACGATATATAGCTCTTGTCCGCGCGCAAGCAGCAACTGGGCGAGAGCATCGGTCGCATTGGGCACAGTCCGCTTGTCTAATATCGTTCGGTACAGGGTCTGTTTGCCTGTCAAGCCGAGTCACCTAGCAAAACATGGGCGGAAGAGACGTTCGCGGAACCCTCCCCCATCCCCTGGAGGGTCTCGATTGAGACGGAGCCGGGGTGATCCTTGCTGTCGAGGTTCACTATGGATAAGACAGGCCACTGGCGGGCCTTCAACTCTGGCTCTGTCGATCCCCTGCACACGGCGCAGACTGGTCAGTCCAAACCAGAAACCTAGAGTGAGCTGGGTGTCATCAGACGACAAGATTTGCTTGGATGACAATCAGCCCTGCTTTCTTTCAGCAATGGAATCCCAGCAGTTATTTGATTGTGCGAACGAAGCTCCCCCGGATCATCGCGGACAGCACAGATGTGAGCTCGCCTTTGAGGACGCACAATGAAATCCCTCGGGTTGTTATGGAGAATGGTCGGAAAAGGCTTCAGCGCCCGCCGTGCGACGCACACTGGCGACGATCAAATGGAAAATGCTCCGACGACGTGGAGGCCGCACTTGTCTCTGACAACGACACGGGGTTGGGTAGCGCCGGCCCTATCGAGCAAAGAATGACAGTAGCAGTAGCAGCAGCAGCAGCAGCAAGAGAAGCGACGAACGAGCAGCGACCACAAGTAATGAATGGAGCCAGCCTATGGCGAAGGCTAGAGCAAGGACCTGGCAAGGGGGGGGGGGAGGCTTTGCCCGCCTTTGTACCTGTATTGCACCCCTGGAGCTACCTACCCCCAACAAGTATCACTGATCAAGCACAGACGGGAGCAGCGGCTGCTGGTCTGTTGAAATGCCTCATCCCGGGATGCGATGCGCAGGGATTCGGTTTTCGCATGATCCTGCCATGGGCGACTGCCACAGCTCAAACCATGGCGGCAAGACCTGTCATCAGTTATCGATTGAAATTGGGGGTGTGAGAGGAGAGAGCTTGCGACAAGGAATGGGAATGCTCATACTGCGGGTGAGTGACAGCGTCAACAGCATCGCAGATTCGCAGTCGGCGATACTCGATTCATGAGCGACCAGGCCACCTGCGCCAGCTAGATGGTCGATCGCTACCTTGACCAGAAAGAGGTACATATCCACTCGAGTCCACTTGGATGTGTTCAGCCCAGATGAATACTGACCTTGGCTATGACACTGGCCTCAAGAGCTTGGCGAAAGAAGTGGGAGAGAGAGGGAGAGGGGGAGTTGGGGAGTTGGCTTTCGTTGATCCTTGGGACCACGCGCGCTTGCGGAATCCCTGGCTCAGGGCGCGGCGTGGCTGTTGGTGAGACTGACCGACCAAGTACTGTAGCAGGAGGCGGCAGCTATGGAGCTCGAGTGTGCCACAGCTTACCTTGCTTGGACTTCGAATGCTCGTGAAGAACACAAGGCAAGGTGGTCTGAAAGTACATTGTCGGCCGAGCGTACAACACACACACCTTGTCCGAATTGAACAGCCAGGACAAGACGGGAAAGAAAAAGACGAGGAAAGCAATCGCATCGCATCTCATCTCTTAGCCTTGCCTGGCCTGGCACACTCTCCACATCATCCGGCGTCTCGTCTTGTCTCGTCTCGAATCTTGCCACAACAACCTACCTTATTACCTCCACCGGATCAAGCTCTCTGTTGTCAGGACGAGCATGGATGGATGGGACCCCTGGAGCTGGTGGCTGGCTTTCATCAGTCCGTCCCGTCTCGATCTGCCCCGGCCGCAACTCTCTCCTCCCGCCATCTGACAAGCATGCTCGACCTGGCCTTGCCTTTGATACTTCCCGGCTGGCCTTCCTGCTTTGAGCATCACCTTTCGTACATCCGTCCCTGGGCCGGTCTGGCCTGTCTTTCACCGATCTCTCTCCTCCCCCCCCTCCACCCAAGGCCCCCCCCCGAACGAAGCTCCAGGCATCAAGCCTCAAGCCCTTCTACACCCCCTGGTCACTTCATCTTGTGCATCTCCTCCTCACCCCTCTGAATCCCTCTCGTCGATAGGGTGGGCTCGTTGTTGGAGGACCCATCTCAACCCTTCAAGGCCTCTCTTTCTCAACCCATCTTCCTAAGAGATTCATCCCCCCCTTCCTTTCCACCCCCCCCGTACCAGAGCAAATCACACACCCCTCCCACCCCCTCTTCTACTCTCTTTACCCTTGCCGGTACTTCGAGGACAACCCTCAGCAGCCGATGCTCTTGTGCATACCACATTACATATGACCTACCTACCCAGGTGGCCCACCTCCGAAGCTCAAGCTCTCTGGTCTGTGTTGTATTACCGTTGTCTGCACACTCCATCGTACATGACCGTCTGATATCCCATCTCTCCCCTCGACCGACCGACCCAGCACTGCATTGCAGCTTTCTCGCCTTGCAGCAAACAGCCCGTTGAACCGATCTCGTCTCCTCCGCTGCCCCTGTCGACGGGTCTATCGAACCCCATCGCTTGCCGCCGAGACGCCCTCTGACGCTGTGCAGTGTGCAGCGTTCCGGCACATCCTCCACTGCAGCGCTTCTGAGTCTGTCAGCTTATACGCCCCCCCCTCTCTCAGTCGAGCATCGGAGCACCAACCCAACGACCGAAATCCGCTTCTCTCTCGCGCACGTTCTCTGTCTCCCTCTCCCTCTCCCTCTGTCCCTGCTTCACGCGCTGGCAAGGGTCGTCGAAACAGTCTCGACCGACTGGGATACCATACGTTCATCGATGGGCTGCTACTGGAAGAGCCCGAGACTGCATCGTGCCGTTGCGTCCGTCCGTCCAGCCCGCTGCCGCCTCCAAAACAGACAGGGTCAAGGACATTTAGCGGAGCCCAGCCCTCCTCTTCCATGAGGAGACGTGCCGCCGCCAAACTGACCATCCATCCACCCATCCACCCCGTCTTGACCCCCCCAGCGCCTGCTGCACCTCCGACGCACCTGCATTGCATCCCTGAACCACCCGCCATCTCCTGTCCTATCCTGCCTTCCGCCTCGAGGTCTCCCCACGACGCAGACCGCTTATACGCCGTCGTTCAGAAACCAATTGCCCCCCCTCGACCTATCATGCATGCCTCCCATCTATGAGTCCAACCCGATCAGATACCCTACTGGGAACAGAGTTCCCCCACATCTGGGCATCCTACCAGTCATCAGGACAACCACACACCTCCGCGCACGGCGCGAGTTCTTCCTCCCTCCCGCGCGTGTTGTGTCGTTCGGCTCCCTTAACCTGGAACCAACGCTCAAGGTCGCTTGCTGCTGACCTCCAGCGTCGGGGCCCTTGCTTTTATGCTTCTGCGTGAAGAGAAGGTTGAGACATAACAAACAGGAAATGCAACACGCCATGATGGGCTCAACTGGCGTGGACCAGGAGAGTCATCTTGCAACGGACCAATCTTTTACAAACCACCATCAGAACACTGCCGCCAACCACAACGTCAACGACGGCTGGGGCGACATGAATGCCTATCATCAGAGCGCCATGCCGGACTACGGGTTTAGTTATAGTTCTCACACTCCGCACGGGTTGCCATCAGAATCCATCGGCAGGATGCCTCCTCCGCCGGCGCCTCTACAGCCTATTCTGCCTCCTCAGCAGCAGCAGCAGCAGCAGCAGCATCGATCGCATACACAACTTGCCATGCTCACGATACCTCAGGGAGCATGGCCAAGTAATTTCGTGCAAAATCGCAGCAGCTACTCGGCTCAGTCGGCGCCCCCTTTACAGATGCCGCCCGTGCTGGGTGTGTCGCCTTCGTCCAAACCTATCAGGCCGTTAGGCATGCAGCAATCAGCGCCGCGGAAGACTCTGACAGATGACGACAGGCGCAGGATGTGCCAGTACCATATGGACAACCCCAACATGAAGCAGACCGAAATCGGTGCCATGTTCGGCGTCGAAAGGAGGTAGGTGACACGATCGATACTATGCGAGCCCCGTGGCTCAACAGGTCTGACGCTGCGTCTAGTACTGTATCAAAGGTTCTTCGTAACAAGGAGAAGTATCTCTTCCCGGAGGACAGGACGCAATCTCCAGTCAAGCGCAACCAGAAGAAGCTGCCGGACTTCGAGAAGGCATTGTCATCCTGGGTCAACAAAAGGAAGACACGCTATGGGTCTGACATTTCAGACGAGGAGATCCTGCAACAGGCTCGTCACTTTCGTCTGACTGTCGGTGGCGAGTCGGAAAGCCAGTTCAAGGCCTTGTTAAACGGCTCGTGGCTGGAGAAGTTCAAGCAGAAGAACGGTATCGGTCAACCCAGGTTGTTGCGGAGGGCATCCGAGACGAACATAATCGATCACGCGAAACTCTCTGCCTCGCCATCGCTGACGCACGGCATCATGTCAACCACGTCGCCTACGGGACAGCCTTCGCCCCTCTCGGCAGATCGGAGCGACGAGGACGCACACAACAACGGCCTCGGGTTCATCCCCTACTCTCCAGACGGCAACACCTACAAGCACGCAAACTCGCATAGCACGACGTCTCTGAACAGCGCTTTCACAGACGCAGCGGCGTCCTCTTTCTCGGGGGGTGCGCTGAGCCCCACAGGTCCATTCACCTTCTCGCCAGATCCAAACGTTGGCAGTTTCCTAGCACCCGATCAGACGCGCCAGATGCAAGTGGGCGTAGGCTCCAACTTCTCGCGGCCGAGGAGCCAGACCTTCCCAACCCTGGATCTAGAGTACATGAACGCAGCGGGTACGACGACAGAGCCATCAACCCCGAGGTTTCACCCCTCGGCGACCGCCCCTTCCTCGGCCCTGGAGTCTCCTGTCCACGAGATGAACGCAGCTCCGTTCGGCATCGACAACGCCATCGCCTCGTCACCGCATCTGCATCACAGCAGCAGCAATAGCAGCATGGCTGGTCGGTCAACAACCACTCCGATCAACAGCGGTTTGTCGTCGACCCCTGTTGGCTCTTCTCCGACGTCGCCCACGCAGGAGGACGCCCGGAGGGCAGCAGATACGTTGCTCAACTTTATCCAAAGCAACGCTTCCAACGGCTTTGTCGACCAAAACGAATACGCAACCGTCCTGCGGCTGACGGAGAAACTTCGCATCCACCAGCAGCAAGCGACCAAGTCGATCAACGTCACGGCCATCGGCGGTCTTTCAAGAATACCGGAAGGCGATTCGGAGATGCCGCCGCCGCCAACAACAAATCAGCATGTCGAGGCGACCATGTCTGGTTGAAAGTAGGCTCGCGGCCGTCTATGGGGACTGGCCGCACATAAGGCCATCAGGTGTCTGGCCATTTTGCACGCATGGGAGATTATCATCATTGTTCGTCACGGCGTTGGCTTTGCTTCTCGAACGACAGTTTAGCGTTCGATGGTCGAATCACAGCATTTTTGGGACGATGGAAAGGAATTCCATCGTAGGGACCGACTATTTCGGGACGGGGAAGGTGAGAAAGGGGGTCTACAACAAACAGACAACGATCCTGCAAAGGACAGAAACAAAACACGACAGGTGCCCAGCTCCCGTCGGCAAAGGAAACCCACCACAGGCGCAGCCCTCGCGAGGGAACGCTCGACTCAGATATACACGACTGACGTCTCACGACGAGGTGAACTGGCTTTAGGGCCTGCCGGCAGAACAGGACGGGACGATTCGGGCCACTGGGCCTGAGAGGATGTACCGGCGTGGACATCTTTTGGCATCCCGTGCCACGACGGCGCTACACGCTGGGCACTGGCATGGGCGACCTATCATCGAACCCAACGCGGAATTTAGGGGAGGGAGCAATCCGGCGAATGCACCCCGGTGTACATCTCTCTGACAACTCGCCCTTCTCGACACAAAAACAACAATCCACGATACCCCTTCCTCGACATTACTTCTTCCACCCTCCTCGACTGAAGGGAAGACTTATTTTCTCACCTGCTCACGCGGAAATTACACAACTGCTTGCCCTTTTTTTGATTTTGTTTTGTTTGATTTTCTCTTGGGCAACTACTTCCCTTCCCGTGTGGAAACCCGTCAGCATGTTGTTTCTTTACTTGTTTTCAACGGTCACTTTGTCTTTCTTTCTCCTCTTCTCCAGCTTTCTCTCTCTCTCTCTCTCCTTCGTTTCCATTCATCCTATATCGTCGTTTCCTGGACAGACATATTTGCACGTAGCCAGTCTTCCATCATAGTCCGGAGAGCAAAGGAGGGAGTGTGAGGAAGAGAGGAAGAGTATCTGTCTGTACATTTCTTCGACTCCCGCAGGGGAATCTGGTTTCATATGCGACTGTTGCGCCACGATACCAATGTTTGTGTTAATGGCTTTTTTTCATCACTTCCCAAGTCGTCTCTGCAGAGACCTGGGAGAGGATTCGGGTGGGGAGGAGGGGGGCTGGCTCTGTTGAGCAAGTGGAGATAAGGGGGGGAAGGGGAACGGGCCGACAATGCTACCAGCATCGGGGACAATCCGCAGAGGAAGAAGACACGCGATTCAGTCTGGCGAGGAAAATCACAACAGCAGCTGACGGAAAGGAAGGCATGGGAACAACGACGGGAGAGCAAGGGGGAAGTTCGGCGAGGCTGGCGAGCCCCGATTGCCAGACCCCCTCCCCCCCGGGGAAGCGCAGGCGAAGAAAGGGGAGCACCGACAACCCGGACACACACAGAGATTGAAAGACAAACAACCCAACGGGCGGCCCCTATCTACATTTTTTTAGTTTCGGGGAGTTGGCCCTCCCTTTCCCCCCTTCGTTTCCTTTCAGCACGTAATCGAATCAGCGAGTCTGTTCTTCCTTCTGCCGTCTTTCTTGGCAACCTCAAATCTGCATGCAACTCGATGAAAGAGCAGGAAGGGTATGGTGGACCACTGTCACCTCGAGAATGGCACACAAGTGACTGAACAGCAAAAGTAAAAGTAAATGCGGGTATCAGCTTAACCTTTCGTCCCAGAGCTCGGCGACCCCCTTTTCCGCCAGCTCGGGCATGAGCCGCACCAATATGAGCTCTAATATGCCATACACGAGGTGTCTGTTACAGTACTCGTCAGAGAACACGTCCAGTATCCCCTCCTCGATCTCGCGCAGAACCCGCTCCTCCTCCGCCGTCCTATCCTCCTCGCTTTCCTCGCGCTCCTCCGTCGAAGTTTGCCCGCCACTAGTGCCAACATCCCGTTCGCCCTCTTCGCGCGTCGCTGCTAGCTCGCCACTGCCACTGAGACGGCGACTCGGAACGGTCCGCGGGCGGAGACCGAGGCCTCGCCCGCTGAGGTAGAAGCGAGACAGCCACCTCGGTACCAGGGCCAAGAGGGCGCTAGCGCAACGGCGGCGCAGGGCGCGCAGCTGGCTCTCGTCGGCGGGCGGCGTGAGAGACGAGACGCCCTGGGCGTTGTTGGGGAACAGAGCGCCGCGGGTGGCGCGCAGGAGTGTCGGGAGGTGGGACGAGTCGAGGAGGCGGCTGTGAATTGCGTGGGAGAGGAGTCTGTAGCTTGTCAGCCTTGTGTCGCCTTGTGCACATCTGTGGTTCTGAGATGCAACGGAACGTGCGTGCTTCGTGTGTGAGGACGAGAAGTGGTGTGGAGCTTTGGCCTCAAAGGGGAAGGGATCTGAGGGGTGTGGTAGGAAGTTGTGGTGATCGGACAGGGGAAGGGGCCAGAAACGGCAGCCAGACGCACTGGCGAACAGGCATGCGACCGCACGACCACAAGGCGTAGCAGCCAGATTGACAATGATCGAGTAAGACGTCTTGGTCCAAAAGGCACAGACAGCAAGGTGTGATTGATATCGGACTGGGGTAGTGGCGGGGGCGGATTGTACAATCGAAATGAAGGCGAGAACACGCAAGATTTGAGGCTTGACTAGGGCCAGGGGCAAAGGGGGTCGGATGTCCAGGCCTCGCGGGTTCTTGGTGCGGGGTGGACTTTCGGAACGCACAGACTGAACGTGAAGGGTAGAGCTCAAGTGTGGAAGGCCATGATCCTGGCGGCCGGGGGTGCAGGCAAGACCGCTCTCAGTGATATGTGACAGAGGTAGTGTTTGTTTTGCGAGCTTTAGGCTCCGCGATGGAGGGTGGATGTAGCCAGACCGAGGCCCAACGCTAGGCCAAGACGAGGCGGTCGATGTCGTGAACGGCGACTGCTGCCGTCAGCCAAGTGCGGGAATCGAACGATGTCCCAACAAGAGCTGTGAGAATGCCAGGGGTCGTATGGTATGGTTCCTGGCGTCCAAGCTGCTTTGGTCTTTGCAGCGCGGATCCGAGGGATATCTGGTCCCTGGTCCTTCGCCGTTCGAGCTTGGCATCCGGCCTGGCCAAGCCATGGTGCTCAATGGAGCTATGGCGGCAGCCACAGAAGACGGGTGATGGAAGCCGGCGGCAGCGGCGACTAGTTGTCGACCAGGCGATGGACGATCAACTTGGTTGTGAGGGGGGGATTAAAAATCAATCCAGACAGACCAGTCGTGGTGAAAGAGATGACCTGGGTCTGGTAGCGAGTGAGCGTGCTTTGCGGTGCCTGGCACGTCCGCGGACAATGACTGGAGGATGTGGGCGCTTAATGCAGAGAAAACGAGGCGTACGGTTGGAGGGATGACTCGGGGACCACCTCGCGAAGGATACCGGACACGAGTCTCGCCCTCTGTCCACGTCATTGGCGGCCGCCGCGCTTTGGCATTGTAGTTTGTGAGGGCGGCGTGGATGGGGATAGGCCGTCTCTGGTGCCCATAACAGGAGCAATGTAGGTCGCACAGTGACATTGGTGTTTGTTGATTGATGGCCGATACGACATATCTCGTGGCTCTGCCCCGAGTTGTCCCGCTGCCCACCCTCCCTCCTTTCTTTCAGCTCCCTATCGCTAAGGGGAGGAGGGTGAGCCCAAGATTCTGGGCCACGGGGTCACATTGTGCACACTGGTACAGCAAGGTCATGCTGGCAGCTCACTGGAGCGATGCCTCGTCCAGTGACCTGGGGCTTATGCGGCGAAATGATCAAATGGTCGCCGAGAGGGGGGTTCAAATCCGAAACAAGAAAGACATGATGACCTACCTATCGAGAGGACCGTCCAGGCCAGCGAGTTTCGCCGGACCACTGACAGCGCCGAACTGAAGCATGGAGAGGGCTCCGCTCAGCCACGGCGTGCGAGAATCGAGCTCGATCAAGCTAGAGATGCAGCTCCACAGCTTGAAGGTGACGATAGGTGCCTTGACTGGCTTGGAGGCGTTGGCTTTGGCTGCCTTCGTGGCAGATCCAGAACCTGCTAGAGAACTCTTTGCATCCAAGACTGGTGTCGACCTGGCGGGCAACGAGGACGAGGAGGCGAGGGTCAGCACGACAAGCTGTACCGCTGTGAACGCCATGAACAGCCATTGGATGACACCCCAGAAGATGCCTTGGAAAGACCATGCTCGTGTTGAGGATTCCGGCTCGATGATGGGCGCGTCTGGCGACAGTGCCTCGGCCACACCCTCTTCTAGAGTTGTCGTTTCCGGCTCTCGCTTGCCCAATACCCTGACGAGGATGATCATGATCTCCCATAACATCCAAGGCTGCGCAAGTTTGTTGATGAGGACATTGCCGATGATGAGCTCCGACAAGATCTGGCCAACGAGAGCCGTCAGACACTCGTTTTCGAGATCCTCTGTCGGCAGCAGTATGGCCAAGACGCCCTGCACCAAGAGCTGCCGGTACATTGTCTCATTCTCCTGCTGCTTTGCAGCGGACTCGGGGGCTTCGGGCTTCGGAACGGGTGACAGAGGCACCAGCGGACAGAGAGCATGATATATATCTCGAGGGTTCGCTTGTGTCGGCGGTCGTGCCACTGGGTTATGAGCAGTGCGATAGGCTGATTTTGGTCACACCGTCAGCGAGAGTTCTAGGTCCTGAGACAAAGGGCGCAAACCTGTGATGTGGTTGTCCAGGAGATCCGGCAGCTCGTCCAAAAGCAGGCTTTCCAAGTCCACCTTTCGTAGGCGCTGCTCGAGCGCTCTCGTGCAATGTGCGATGATCTGCAGGATCTCGGCGACAAAGGTCTCGTCTGATGTGATCTTGGAGTACCAGGCCTGGACAAAGTCCCTCAGAATGACAGCCAGCAAGGCATATAGCTGCAAGTCGACATCGTTTCGGCTCGTCAAGGGCGGGAGGAGGTCCTCGAGAGGCGGTGGCGTGCCGTTGCCAGCTTGGTGCTGGGGGCAGAGGACACGGCGAACGAAGGCGGCGGTGGCATCGTCGGAGAGGAAGTCGGTGGACAGAGGCCGCTTGGACCGTCGAGTCACGGGGACGACTGGCGGCGGAGGTCGAGGAACGGCTGGCGGAGGGGCACCGGGCCTGGATGTGAAGGCCGAGGCGGCGGCTGCTGGTGCGGTGGCCGCGTGGGATGAGGTACTAGTTGTTGCAGCCGCCTTGGGACGCGGGGTCGATGCGCGCACGGGAGCTGCCGCTGTCATGGCTGGTCACCTTGATCTGGAGCGGTGCGACGGCGGCGTGTCATGGTTTGCCGTGCAGATCCAGATGCAGCAAGTAGGTCCAGGTCCTGGTCCAGCTTTGGGACGAGGGCCGGGCCGTCGTGAGATGTCGTCAAGATTGGGTGTATGCAGGGAGAAAGATTGGCCCCCGGGGAGAGTGGGTTTAGTCGGTGGGCAGCCGTTGACAAGCATAGAGTGCTGAAGATCTGGAGACGGGGGGAACGGCGGTTGACCGCATGCACCCAAAATGAGCAGTACCCAAGGTAAGGTACCTACCTACCCAGGCTTGACAGGTAACTGAACAAGTATTACATCGCCTCGGTGCCACGGGGCTGGCTGCATTAGCTGTAGGTACCTACCGAAGCTACCTAGGTACTTCAGGTAGCGGGACTCCCCTGAACCGTGCACTGCAGCCCACTAAAAGCATCCCCCAGCTCGTGCATAAGTTCTTCCCTGCACCTGCACCTTCAGGGGCCGCATCCCCCTATTCTTACTCCTCTCGCTGGCCTTGCCGGATGGATACCCCGACTTGTGTAGCCTTGCTGCCAGACATGCACAACGTCAAGTCAAGAACAAGGCTGAGGACAACAGGCAAGCTCAGACTTGTCTCAGGTAGTCATGACCAATAATGCGATATGCAGGAGTCGGGTACATAAACAATCGGTCTACAGCGGCGTGAGGCTCACACAGGTGTTCTAAGCATCCTGTGTGCCGACAAATGATACACGTCTATACATTATTATACAGAGCTCGCAGCATCAACTCTCGTGGCCCCCATCTCATCTTCTCACTGGCCCTTGCCCTACTCCTTCATGGTTGTCTCGTAGCTATCATCTGTCAGCAATCTACATCGTCTCACGTGGAGGGAAGAATTGTAGCAACATACCGTTTACCGCGGAACGCCCAGACGCCCCAGTTGCCACAGCTGATATCTTGCGGGTCGAGGTCGTTGATATCCCACCTCAGACTCCTGAAGAGGTTCTCGCCCGGCTCCAGGAGGATATCAAACTCGCCGGCTGCTGTCTTGCGGACCCACTCAATGTCCCTCTCCATGTCGAATTGTGTGTAGCCCGTCGCGATGATGGGCACCTTGGTCTCCAGCAGCTGCGGAAGTGTCTCCGTCCACTCGTGGCTACTCGCCGGGTGGCCCAGACCCGGGTGGAACAGGACGAAGCAGTCGAAGTAAGGATCATACGGCGCAAAGTACTGCGCCGTGTGCAGCGTGTGGTAGTAGTCAACAATGGTGCTGATCTTCATCTTGGACGACACCCGGTCCTCGACCACCATGCCGAAGGGGTTGGACGCCGTGCGCTCAGGCAACGGGAATTCGTCGTCGCGGTTCGCCATGCTCTCGGGTCCGATGAAGATGAGGTGGATCTTGCTGTCGGGGAAGAGGTGCGCCAGCTGCACCCAGACGTTCCTCGGCAGCGAGGACTCGGCGCGGGCACCCAGGCAGAAGACACGCACGGGGGGCGCCTCGGGTCGGAGGTTCTTGATATCAATACCCTTGCCGTTCTTGGGAGGATGAAGGGTGTAACGGAGAGCTAGTGGCGATTGTCAGTCTACAGTAAATCGCATGCTTGTGGAGGCCAGGAAGAACATACCACTCAAACTTCGGATACCCTCGCCTGTCAACCGGCCTCCCTTGCCCAGGCTGTACGGACTGAGCTCATGGAGAATGCTGCCGATTGTGACGGGATACGTCAGCATCTTGGTGACCTGACGCATACTACGCTCGTCGTTGATCGCATCGAACTCTCGCGTGTACATGAAGGTATCCCAATTGCTCATGTTGACCACAGCCTCAGGCAGCTGGTCTTCGGCCATCTCAAACTCAGGGAACGCACGACCAGAGTGGAGGTCATGATCGTCCTCGTTAATCTCGCGGAGCTGGTCGCAAATCTCGAGGTGCGACTCGTAGTCGGCCATCCAGTGTTCCTTGCTGCAGGACACCGGGATGCCGCAGTCGGGACACTCAAAGTCGACATGAGCAGGCGCCATGTTACCGCCCTCTTTCGCCTCCTCTCCGTCTTGCGCGATGGTTGGCACCCGCGTGGGCCGGTGGTCGGGGTGAGAACAGTAGGCATGCTGCCTCATGAACGCCGCGCGGCGACGAATCGCTGGGATTGGGCTGTTCGAGTACGAATGGAAGAGGTTATCCTGCTTCAGTGCAGGCTGGTATTCCGTAGCGATAGTCTTGGAAGCTGTAGCTGTTTGCGAGGAAGCCTTGGAGGTCGAGGCAAAGCCTCTTGCCGGGGCGGCGTTTTCTTTCGATCGTCTCGGCGTTGTCGAGTGGATGGCACGGATGGAGTGGGCCGACACAGCGCGGGCAATATGAGCGACAGGTCTGCCGGCGACTAATTGCCTCCTTGCGGTGGTCGAGCATCGTGTGCAGAGACCAGAGGCCGCAGCCCTCAGAATTGGCTCCATGACAGTGGTGTGGTGGTCCCGAACAACGAGAGCAAGTGTGTCTCGGGAGCGATCTGGTGGTTCGAGCAGAGCCCTCCAAAGTACCATGCAACCGTGATCCCGAAATTTTGGAGGATCATCCGGCTCAATCATCGGTCCGGGCTCTCCAATGTACCCCACATGCTGTTGATTGGCCTCAGTGAGCTCCCAGCCCCCACGTTTCGCGCTATCTTGATCAATCCACGCTTCCTGAGCTCTGAAATTTCGTGCCTGGAGCTCTTCACCTTCCCCTAACTTGCGCCTTCTCATCACCCCCGATTTCCAACTTGGACTTCAGACTGATGCCGCGCAGGCAACCTGCGGTCCAGCTGTCATCATGGCAACCACCTCGAACATGTTTCTCTACTCCCTGACGGTCCAGCCGCCAACGAACGTCACGCTGGCCGTCCTGGGCCAGTTCGCTGGAACCAGGGAGCAATACATTATCACCGCCTCTGGGTCGCGCATCACCCTCGTGCGGCCTGATGCCGCCCAAGGCAAGGTCGTCACTGTGCTTTCGCACGATGTCTTCGGCATCATTCGGTCCATGGCCGCCTTTCGTATTGCCGGAAGCAACAAGGGTAAGTCGCTCGTGGTCCGCCCCCCCACCCCGCCCTACTCCTCCCCTCTCCCCTTTTGAGGCTTCAGTTAGTGATTCGAGAAGCTTGTGCTCCTACCCGGAGCATGCAGTCTCAGCGATCCACTCGGCTGGCGGCAGATGTCTTCTGAGCACCGCGCTAAAGCTGTTCTTCAGACTACCTCATTCTCGCGACGGACTCGGGCAGGATTGCCATCATTGAGTACCTCCCGGCGCAAAACCGATTCCAACGTCTTCATCTGGAGACTTTTGGCAAATCTGGCATTCGTCGCGTCGTGCCTGGCGAGTTTCTCGCCTGCGATCCCAAGGGTCGAGCGTGCTTGATTGCATCGCTCGAGAAGAACAAGCTCGTCTACGTTCTCAACCGGAACTCCCAAGCCGAGCTCACCATTTCTTCGCCCCTCGAGGCCCACAAGCCTGGCGTCCACGTACTGTCCATGGTGGCACTGGACGTAGGCTACGCGAACCCCGTCTTCGCCGCGCTCGAAACAGACTACACCGAGGCCGACCAAGATCCGACAGGACAGGCTGCTTTGGATGTAGAGACCCAACTCGTTTACTATGAATTGGACCTTGGTCTGAACCACGTAGTACGAAAATGGTCGGAGCCCGTCGACAATACTGCTTCTCTCCTCTTCCAAGTTCCTGGTGGTAATGATGGGCCCAGTGGAGTTCTCGTCTGCGGAGAGGAAAACATTACCTACCGACATTCCAACCAGGAGGCTTTCCGGGTACCGGTTCCACGCAGGCGTGGCGCGACCGAGGACCCTTCGAGGAAGCGTAGCATTGTTGCGGGAGTCATGCACAAGCTGAAGGGCAGCGCCGGTGCCTTCTTCTTCTTGCTTCAGACGGAAGATGGCGACCTCTTCAAGATCACTATCGATATGATTGAAGACCGCGACGGCAATCCTACGGGTGAGGTTAAGCGCCTCAAGATCAAGTACTTCGACACCATCCCTGTAGCGTCCAGCCTATGCATTCTCAAGAGCGGTTTCCTCTACGTTGCCAGTCAGTTCGGCAACTACCAGTTCTACCAGTTCGAGAAGCTTGGAGACGACGACGAAGAGCTGGAATTCTCGAGTGACGATTTCCCGACCGATCCCAAGCAGTCGTATGAGGCTGTGTTCTTCCACCCTAGGGAACTCGAGAACCTGGCACTGGTTGAGAGCATCGATTCGATGAACCCTCTCATCGACTGCAAGGTGGCCAACCTTACCGGCGAGGATGCTCCTCAAATCTACACAGCGTGCGGTAATGGGGCAAGGAGCACATTCAGAATCCTCAAGCATGGCCTGGAGGTGAATGAAATCGTCGCCTCGGAGCTTCCCGGCATCCCCTCAGCTGTGTGGACTCTGAAGCTCAGCCGCGGCGACCAGTACGACGCGTACATTGTGCTATCTTTCACCAACGCCACGCTGGTCTTGAGCATTGGAGAGACCGTTGAAGAAGTTAATGACTCGGGTTTCCTGACCTCAGTACCAACTCTGGCTGCCCAACTCCTCGGTGGCGAAGGCCTGATTCAGGTCCACCCAAAAGGCATCAGACACATCCGCAACGGTCAGGTGAACGAGTGGGCGGCCCCTCAGCATCGATCTATCGTCGCTGCTACAACGAACGAGCACCAGGTCGCCGTCGCTCTGAGCTCTGGTGAAATTGTCTACTTCGAGATGGACTCGGACGGTTCCCTCGCTGAGTACGATGAGAAGAAAGAGATGTTTGGCACCGTCACATGTTTGAGTTTGGGCGAGGTTCCTGAAGGCAGGCTCCGCAGTTCATTCCTCGCAGTCGGCTGCGACGACAGTACTGTTCGAGTTCTCAGTCTTGACCCCGAAACCACTCTGGAGAGCAAATCCGTGCAGGCTCTGACCGCTCCTCCCACATCACTCGCGGTCATAGCCATGGAGGATTCTTCCTCTGGCGGCTCAACACTTTACCTACACATTGGTCTGCACTCCGGCGTCTACCTCAGGACTGTGCTTGATGAAGTGACTGGCGAACTCACTGATACGCGTCAGAAGTTCCTCGGTCCCAAGCCGGTCAAACTTTTCCAGGTCACAGTTCAAGGCCGAACTTGCGTTCTTGGCTTGAGCTCACGACCATGGCTCGGCTATGCCGACCCGATCACCAAAGGATTTGTCGTCACGCCGCTGAACTATGTTGACCTGGAGTGGGGTTGGAACTTCAGCAGCGAGCAGTGCGAGGAAGGTGTCGTCGGTATCCAAGGACAATCTCTCAGGTATGTTTCTATTTTTTTCCCCCCAAACTCCTCTTGCATGAGATGATGAGAACTGGAATCCTACGCCAACACGGCACTGAGGTTTTACGCATTATTACCAATTGTTCCTACTGAAACATGCTATCAAATTATCTTTTTCTTTTGAGATGATCAGCTTGAGTACCTTCTGACAGAATACAGGATTTTCGCGATCGAAAAGTTGAGCGACACCTTGACTCAGAAGTCAATCCCTTTGACCTATACACCAAGGCGAATGGTCAAGCATCCCGAACATCCCATGTTCTACACTATTGAATCGGACAACAACACGCTCCCACCAGAGCTGAGGGCACAGCTCCTCGCAGACCCCAGCGTGGTCAACGGTGATGCGCGAACACTGCCGCCTGTAGAGTTTGGATATCCCAGGGCCAAGGGCCGTTGGGCTTCGTGCATCAGCGTCATCGACCCGTTGTCTGAAGAGCTCCAGACGCTACAGACTGTTGATCTTGACAACAACGAAGCAGCAGTCAGTGCGGCCATTGTCCCTTTCACAAGCCAAGACAACGAAAGTTTCCTGGTTGTAGGTACCGGCAAGGACATGATTGTCAACCCCCGACAGTTCACTGAGGGTTACATCCATATCTATCGGTTTAGCGAGGACGGTCGAGAACTCGAGTTTATCCACAAGACCAAGGTAGAGGAGCCGCCCACGGCCCTCCTCGCCTTCCAGGGAAGACTGGTCGCTGGTGTCGGCAAGACGTTGAGGATTTACGATCTCGGTCAAAAGCAAATGCTTAGAAAAGCGCAGGCCGATGTTGCCCCGCAGCTTATCGTGTCACTAAGCACACAAGGCAGTCGAATCGTCGTGGGAGATGTCCAGCAGGGCGTGACTTACGTCGTCTACAAGGCTCTGTCCAACAAGCTGATCCCCTTCGTTGATGACACGGTCGCGCGCTGGATGACCTGCACGACGATGGTCGATTACGAATCCGTCGCTGGCGGCGACAAGTTCGGCAACATCTTTATCGTGCGCGCGCCTGAAAAGGCCAGCCAGGAGGCCGATGAAGAGGGAGCGGGCCTGCATCTAACGAACACGAGGGATTATCTCCACGGCACACCTCACCGACTGAGCCTCGTCAGCCACTTTTACTCGCAGGACGTTCTCACGAGCATTACCAAGACCAGCCTCGTGGTCGGAGGTCAAGATGTGTTGCTCTGGAGCGGCATTAGCGGCACAATTGGCGTGTTCATCCCCTTTGTCACCCGCGAGGATGCAGACTTCTTCCAAACCCTGGAGCAGCACCTTCGGACAGAAGACGCGCCTCTGGCGGGCCGCGACCATCTCATGTATCGTGGCTACTACGCGCCTGTGAAGGGCGTCATAGACGGCGACCTCTGCGAGAGGTATACGCTGCTGCCGAACGACAAGAAGCAGATGATTGCGGGTGAGCTGGACCGCTCCGTGAGGGAGATCGAGAGGAAGATCTCGGATATTCGCACTCGCTCTGCATTCTAAGTCTGCGGGATAAGGCACGTTGCTTGGCGTTGAAGGCGTACGACTTGTTTTATTCTACAACGAAAGGAGATGTTGATAGTTGATTTGGCATAATGGGAAGCGGTCGGGCGTTTCGGAGGGCCTGGGTTTTTACGAGGCCGTCGCGACGGGCGGGCTTGCTTCACGAGGTAGCGAAAAGGAAAGCACAGGGACGGGTGTAACAATTGTGTACCTGGTGGCCCAGCCTTTGTAATGATGCAATGATATCTAATAACGCCGCCTGTCCTACTATGTCTCTCGGCTTGCGATACCCCCCCCCCCCTTCTCTCGAGCACGCCTGCATCCATGAAGCGACTGTTGCGTGACAGCTGAGCACGTGGTGCGGTCACAGGATCTTCCACCATCCGCCCCGGGTCGCGCCCTTGCCTTTGCCCTTCCCGCCCAGCCCTGCGGTCTCCTGCGGATGCGCCCTCTCCCACGCGGCATCCGCCTCCCAGCTCTCGACGGCGGCGCGCAGGTCGTGCCCCGCCTGCTCGAGGTACAGCGTCGCGACGTCGTAGTCGGCGACCTTGCACGCGACCATGAAGCGGCGCAGCGCGGCCTTGCGGCGGATCTCGTCCGCCGCCTCGACGGGGTGGGGGCTCAGGCTCGGGCTGCCGGGGTAGTGGCTCGCGGGGATGCGAAGGGTGCGGCGGGCCGGCAGGAGGTGGTCGGCCGGGAGGTTGTTGTGGGCGCGCAGGACCTGGGCCGGCACGTTGTAGGCCAGGGACAGGGAGGTCAGCGTGTCGGTGGCGTGGTCGAGGTGGTGGATCGTGTCGTCGGCCTTTTCTTCGAGGACGACGGGCGGCGGCGGCGGCGGCGGCGGGGCAGGGGTGGAGGATGAGGCGGTCCGCGGCGGCAGGACGAGGGAGGACTTGTCGCGGGTGGTCCTGAGGCCTGAGGGCAGCGGGGCGGCGGCGGTGGAGGTTTGGCAGTAGGGGCAGTAGAGGGCGAAGCGAGCGTTTGTCTGGACATGTTAGACCGAGAAAGCAGAGGCCATCCGCGAGCCGTTTGCATTGGGCGTGGGAATAGTCTTGGGTTCCGAGGGGGGGAGGGCGGCGTACGTAAAGACAGCTGCCGCAGATCGTGCGGTTGCAGCATGGCAGAGCGCGGGGCGCGGGGAGGGGCTTCTCGGAGCCTGATGTGTAACGCGGGGCCGTGGCTAGGAGTACGGCGCATGTGCAGCACGCATCGCCGGTCGCCGGCATTGACTGGAGCGACGCTTTGAGCTGCTGTGGTGGCGGGTGCATACTGAATACCGCAGCGTGGAGGACGAGTGGTGAAGTGGAGGTTGGAGGGGTCGTCGGTGATGAGCGTGATGAGGGCGATGAGGGCAAGTTGACGAAGGTGGGTGATCGAGGTGTAGGAAGCACGACGATTGAGTGCCGTGGAAGGAGAATGCAGTGTGCTGGATGAACTCTTGCGGATTCGCCATCCGAACCCTGCGCTACGTCGTTGACTTTGTTCGCATCTCAGTCAGGTACCTGGGTGTTGCAGGATACCTAGGTAGTGGTAGGTAGGTAGGTAGTAGGTAGGTAGTCAGCAGAGCTACCCCTCGCATTCGCCACCCTGCTCCAACTGTTCTTGTGGTACCTCATATTCCACGTTGCCGTCTACGCCTGTTTGCTCTGCGAATACAAGCCATGCTCTGGGGCATTGTTTGAGATCTGGAGGGCTTCAGCAATTTGGTGGCTCGAGTGATCAAGCCGTATGCCTGGATGAGATTCCACACGCTTGATGGCCTTTGCTCTACGTTTGCTGTCGATATTTAAATTCATGACATGATGACAGTTCCAACGCAAGAAAAAAACCCTCCCATGGGCCCATTCTAAACCTGCGCAAATAGCCCGTAATGAATCCAATTATCACCAACCTCGACGTCGGGTGAGCCATGGCCAATATACATACCACAGAGACCAAGGAGGGTATCGGCCCACCAGCAGAGTGACGCAAACGACTGGTGGTGTGGCACGCGAGCTTCCCCACCTCAAGGCTAGCGCTGCTACTACATAGTGACCACACATTACCCTGCATTTCAATTCAGCCCTTATAGCACAGTGGTAGTGCGTTGCACTTGTATGCTCTGGGTTACAATCACTCTCAGCAAGAGATGCAAAGGTCACTGGTTCAATCCCAGTTGGGGGCAACACCTTCAATTCAGGCTTTCCTTTTTTCCTTTTGCCTTGACCGTCATTTGACTTCCCTCGTCATGAATCATTTCAGGGTCGATTGTTTCCCTTTAGTGCTGCTACTCGTCAATCCGTGTATTGCATACACCGCGGGACCACTCAAATGCCTTGGGCATTCGGCGTTGTCGTGGCTGCGTCAGCATGTTTTCTTGGCCTGTATAACAGCACCATGGAGCTCCCCTCAGACTGATGTCAAGCGTTCGACACGCATCGCGATTCATCGCCCCAGGAATCATCGCCCGGTCAAGGCTTGGTGCGTACATGCCCCCCTAAGCTAGGCGTCAGCACCTTGTACCTGTCGTGGCTCGCGGGATTGTCCGATTCTGTCGACTGCATTTGCCAGCATTGGGCGGGCCCCTTAACGCCAGGCCCCTCACGTTGCAAACATTGGAATTCGAAAATTGGGTTCTCAGAGTGTCCTCAGATCGAAGACGCGAGATCCCAGTTGCGACGCATGGCGTCAAAAAAAAAAGTGCGTCTTCTTCTCGAGCCCAGTTTTGTTTCATCCGCAGTTGTGGAAGAAGTCAAACACCGGGAGCCACGGGCTACCAAGGTTGTCAGCCATTGACGAGCATTTTCGACAGACGATGTAGAGCATGCGGGTTGGTGCAACGCGGCACACGACGCTGCCTCTCATATCAAGACATGCAAAGCAACGATGCGTCAATTGGCATCCAGACATCTACCTATTAATGTATGAACATGAAAATGTAGCCCGAAATAGTCGTCGCCCCATTCCCAATCTTTTCGTCCTGATGCCGCACCCCCCTCTGTCATCATCTCATCTCATTGCGCCGATGCGGCTGGCATCGATTAAACACGGTGCGGAATGGCATTACCCACCACCTTACCACCACTGCCCATAAGACCAGCACACCCCAGCACCGGTGACACCCCTGTTGACATTTATACAGTCATTGTATTGGGCCTTGCACTTGTTCGTGGCATCCCAGAAGCTGTCGCCAAAGAATCCGCCGAAGGTGCGCTTATCGATGGCAGCATCAAGATTCGGCGAGCGGTCAGCCAGCGCTGCAGACACGGGCACTTCATGAGAAGCTCCGATTTCACGGCGGTGGCGCCAGCTCTTGAAGCTCCAGCAACCCTTGGCATACACGGCGTTGCAGCTGTCGTATTGCTGGCGGCAGGCGTCGGCGCAAGCGGACGGGACATTCGGGCGCCCGTAGGAGCGGCACTTGCTGGAATCGGAGTTTGAGTACATCTTGAATGGGTTACCGCCCTTGAATTCGTGCTCGAGGTCGTTGCACGTGACGACGGGGAGGGGGATCTTGCCGACAGGGTTGCCAGGACCGTAGCCGTACCAGGAGTTGGAGGGTTGGATGCAAATTCCCTTGGGCGGGGGGACGACTGCAGTCGTTGTGGCCGGAGGAATAGTCGTGGTAGTGGTGGCGGCGCAGGGGAAGGTCGAGGTCGAGGTCATGGGCTTGCCGTCGCCGATGGGCTTGTAGAAGTTCAAGTAGTCCTTCTTGGAACACGACCTGTCCCAGCCCTGCCGACACATCCAGCCACAGAACATGTCGATGTTTTGGCACCACTGCTGGAAGTTGAAGCACTCAACAGCACCAGGCCAACCCGCCTGGTTCAGGCAAGCCGCAACCTGGAGGCTGCACTTAGCCTTTGCCTTGGCGCACGTGTCCCAGTCGCTGAAATCAGGGATGGGGGTAGAGCACCAGTTGCCGCAGCAGTACTCGTGCTTGGGCGGGGTCACAACCGCGGTAGTACAAATTGCTGAAGATGTAGTGCTTGTGGTGGTGATGGTGGTGATGGTGGTTGTGAGAGGCGCGGTGGTCGTAGGCGGGGGAGGTGCCTGGGTCGAGGTGGTGGAGGAAATGAGAGTCGTCCTGGTGCAAGGAGCTTTTGTGGAGGAGGATGAAGAAGCGGAGGAGGAGGAGGAAGAAGAAGAAGAAGAAGAGGTTGAGGAGGAGGAGGAAGAAGAAGAAGAAGAAGAGGTTGAGGAGGAGGAAGAAGAAGTGGTGGAGGAGGAGGAGGAGGAGGAGGAAGAGGAGGAGGAAGAGGAGGAGGAAGAGGAGGAGGCAGAAGAGGATGAAGAAGAGGACGAAGAAGAGGACGAAGTGGAGGAGGAGAGAGAAGTGGTGATGGCGGAGGAGGAGGAAGAGGTAGAAGAGACGACAGTCGTCGAGCTGGAAGAGACAGAGGTGGTAGAAGTCGAGGCAGCAGATGAAGAGGTGGAGGGCTCAATGTAAGGGTGAGACGACGAAACCTCCGTGGACGACGCCGGAGACGACAAAGGAAGCGAAGAGGAGACGATCGTCAGCGAGGACGTGAGCAGCGTCGAAGTAGTCTCGGCAGAAGAAGAAACCGGGGCTGAGGACAGCGGAGGCCGGTCCGGCTGGTGGCCGCAGGGCTCGAGGGACTGGAACTCTTTGGCGAAGAAAATGTTGATGCGGGAGCGGCCACCACAGGTCTTGGTCTTGTCGCCTTTGCATGCTATGCCGCATTGCGAGGCATCGACGAAGCGCGTCTCGTTGCCCATGACGGCGCCACACCAGCACTCCTGACCGTACTCGACACCAGCATAAGGGAAGCCGCCCTGGCGACAGGCCTCGGTGCAGAGGCTAGGGGTCATGACGGACTTGTCGAGCTGGTCCTGGGGCCAGGAGAGGGACTTGCCGATCTGGGAGTTGTCGGTCCAGCAGCCCGTGTCGACATAGTTCTCGATCGTCACGGCGTCAGTGGCGGGGAAGGTACGGTCCTCGAACACAGAAAGCTTCCTGTCACCGCCGCAAGTCTCGTTCTTGTCGCCGTTGCAGGGAAAGGAACACTCTCCGGCGGCAAGCTCGGCGCCGTTGACGGTGTTGCCGCAGTAGCAGACGCCGTAGTACTCGAGGCCGGCATAGCGGTATCCGTTGCCTGGCATGTGTCAGTACCGAGAGGAGTTTGGGGAGGCTGAGGCCGACATACCCTTGCATTCGGCAGTGCACTTCTCGACAGTCATCTCGCGAGAGCTCGTGGATGAGCGGTACGTCAGAGACTTGCCATCGGTGTTTGCGTGACAGCCAGAGTTCACAAAGGGCTGGAAGTTGTCGACGCAAGGCGGCAGCTCAACGTGCCAGGCGTGGACGGTAGAAACGAGGGAAAGGGCAGCAAAGGCCACCCAGGCCTTGATGGGAGCCATGGCAGTAGCGTAGGTGGAAACGAGTGACTGGGAGAGAAACCAAAGGTCTTCTCCAAAGAAGCAAACAAACTTGAAGCACCAATGTCTGGTCTCTGGACAGGCTGCCCCAAGAACTCAAGAAGCGTGATGAGATAAAGAGAGAGGGGGAACAGACGGCAGCTGGAGACGGCCAACCCCTGGAGGCTATATACCAGGCGTCGTTGGTGCGATTTCTGAATAGAGCCAAGTCAGAGCATCAAGATAAGCAATGCCACGGCCATAGCAATGTCTTGGTCCATCGAACTGCGGCAGAGAATACGACGTCGCTCTTGGACTCTACGGTGTCCCCGGAAAGGTACACGTAGGTGTGCATCGTTCGTCTATTCGCTCGAATATAGGTTTAACTTGATCAAGGCAAGATCAAGATTGGTGTTTTTTTTTTCCTTCCAGGGGGAACGGTGACCGTGCCGAGCCCGCGGGCAGCCTGTGTAACCAACGAATGACCGGACGATGCACACGACGGACCATGTTGTGCTCTGTTGTGCTTTGTTGCATGGGAAGGACTGACTGCCGAGCCATCCACAAGCATCCATCCATCTTTTTCCATCCACCTGAGCGCCAGGCCATCGGTGAGGTTGAGACCCCTGCTGGGTTATGCTGGCCTAGTCCGGGTTGGACTGGTCTGTTCTTAAACAGTCAGGCTCGGATCTGCTGCTGGACATTGAAGAACATGCCTCCGGGGGCTTTCCTTGGTGGGGGCAGGGATTCGATGGGTTGTTTGGTCGTCGGATGTCTGGTGGATGTTTGGTCGGAGGGAAAACGAACTGGTGGGTGGGTGGTGGCCCGAGAGTGTTGCCTCTTCCGGCAGGACGCATGACCAATGGGGGAAAACGGCTAGCTTCAGGGGATGTTAGCGCCATGAGGTGGCCCAGCAGAAGACTCCTGGGTTCCTGCAGTAGCGCCCTCTGCCGCTGGAGCCAGCAGCTGGAGCAGGGGGCCTGACAGGTACGATGCAGTACAGGCAGAAACTATAGGCATGTTAGTACATCGTGGCCCTAGCCATTGCTACCCCCCTCCTTTGCTCCGTCGTCTTTTTGTTTCTCCTCGCCTCGTTCTTTGTTGTTCTTTGTCCTGCTCTATCCTCCTGGCATCAATGACCGCCACTTGCCATCCCACTCACCGAGGTGGTTTTGACTGGTCCCATCGCCTTGGCTACGGAACCCAAAGTATGAACAAACAGCAAGCAACAACACTGCGATACGAGCGAATCCATGACAGCAATGGGCTCAAGAGACCAAACAGCGGTGCTGGCCGCCCGGACGAGTAGCCTACCACTCTCTCTCTGGAGACTGTTACGGTAGCATCAGTTCATTTCGGACCGCAGCCGCAAAATGCGACTACTTTTTTCCTCAGAGACTACTTGCTTACAGGTTGCCCACCCCTCATCCACCCAGACCATCAAAGACCAATGGCCGCGGGATGGCTTAAAAAAGAATACAGAGAGTTCTGACTCTCAGACGAGGAGCCAACACCCCATTGTGTTCCGTTCCGAAGCCAAGCAGGCCAAGATGGGCCAACAGCCATCCATCTATCTCCGTCAATTCTTCCTTGACGACCCGGATCGACAGCCCAAGCAATGACCTCGTCAATGACCTCGTCGCTGCCCGGACGTCGAGTTCCTCTCGTGTCTCATGATTTGCGGTTGATCACCGGCTTTCCACGCCCAGCAGTCCAGCAAACATCGTGACGGACGCATGCTTGCCCATCATTGTAACCTCACTGACGTAGTTGCCAACGGAGCCAGCTTTGTTCGTGACATGAAACGCTCTTTTTATCTCCCTTACCGCTTGCCATTGTAGATGTCTTTCCGCCCGCCCACCCCAGCCCACCGCCACTACTACCATCACCCCAACACCCCCTTTGTTAGCTCGTGAGGTCGACCAACACCACATGGGATGACAACCGCCACGTTGAGCCCTAGTCTCCTTTCCCGCCGCAGGTCTCGCGCCACACTCCCTCAAGCGATACCGCAACGCCGTACGATCCTGGCGCACGTTCTGTGCAGGACACGTGCGCCCGGTTAGCCGAGTTCTACCTGACAGTAAGCGATCCCAGGCAGTCCCAAGTATCGTCCAGATGGCCCCAAAACTCTCGCCCCGCGGCTAGCCCATGCCGGCACACTTCGACCTGACCTCCGGAAAAGGGAACTGGTTCTTTGAAGCAGAAAACACACCCGCCCGTGCATCCGAGCCTGCTAGCGTAGCCCCAGAAGGATCTCTGCTTTGTAGAGACCCAAAGCTTGCGTGGTGGTGATGGGGGCGTCTCGGTCCGGCACTTGGGACATCTGGCTGTATTGACACATGTTCTCGCGCGCGCCCTGCCCGCTCGCTCTCATAGCATCGGTAGCGTGTGGCTGAGATCGAGAGGCTGCCTGTGGCCCAGCTGTAGGTCTGGCGTTTCTGGGAGACATTACCCCTCTACGACAGCAGCAGCAGCAGTTCATCTAGCTAGGTAGCTAAGGGGAGACACCATAGTTCTAGCAGACATGGCATGACGCCGTTGAAGCTGGCCTCGCTTGCACCACCGCGTTAGGTCACTGACAAGATGACTTGGCACTTCATCGGGCATGCCCTCGACATGGGCCTCGCCACGATCATCACAAGGCACTGACAGGCATCGGTCGAACCAGAGCAGGCAAAACGGCTAGTCTCAGAGAAACGTTCAAGATCATTACCTTACGGCCATGAATTCAACATCTTGCAAAGATGCCGACTCATTCTGCCGCCGCCTCCTCCTCTCTGCTCAGGACGGGAGACGACCTTCGTATCTCTAGAGTACAACGTGTGAATGACTGGGTAAGAAAATCTCTCAACCAAAGCAAGGCCTCGAACTCCGATGCAGGTTTTTTTGCGCAACCTCCTGATTTCCCTCTCCCTTCATCATCCTAAACTACGGCCCCTGTAGCCGTATTCCATTTACTCCTTGCGCAGGTGCCGGGGCACCCACTTGCCCGGGGCTCCCGATGCCTTGAGCTGCTCGGTCGCGGGTGCCGGCGAGGCGTTACGACCCTGGTCGTCGCGGTTCGAGGCGGTGCGGCCCATAGGGGCACCACCCGAGGCAGTGCGCTCCGAGCGCTCCGAGCGCTCCGGGCGCTCCAGACGCTCCGCCCGCTGCGGGGGGGCGCTGTTCTCAGCACCGCCAGCAGCGGCGCGTGCCGCTTCGCGGTCGCGCCAGCTGGGCTTGCCTCCACTGCCAGCAAGGCTGATGCGGGGAGGGCCACCGGCACGATCGCTCGAGTCGGTGCGCTCCATGGGGGCGGCTTGCCGGGGAGCGGGTGGCGCGTTGTCTGAGGCGCCGGCGGAACCGCGAGCAGCCTCCTTCTCGCGCCACTTGCCGGCGCCGGGAAGGTTGAGGGGACGGCGACCTTCGGAGCTGGGCTCGGCGGCGCTGCGCGCGGGGGGCAACGCGCGCTCCTTCTCCTTCTCCGCCTTGCGCCTGGCGAGGGCCTCTTCTTCGCGGCGGGCCTGCATGGCCGCCTTCTCCAGAGACTCCTGGCGTTCTTGATCGCGCTGCTCCTTGAGGCGCTGCATCTCGGCGCGCTTGGCCTCGGCGCGGGCCTCCTGTTCTTCCTTCTCCTTGGCGGCACGCTCCTCGGCCTCGCGGAGAGCCCTTTCCTTCTCCTCGCGTTCGCGCTTCTCACGCAGCTTGCGGTCGCGGTACTCCTTCTTGCGAGCCGCAATCTGCTTCTCGAGCTCCCGCTCCGCATCCCTGCGGCGCTTCTCAAACTCCTCTCCGCGGCGGGAGTGCAGGTTCTCGCGGAACGACTCGAAGTGAGGCATGAGACGAGTGAGACGGTGCTTCAGCTCGACACTCTCCTTGTGCTTGATCTCGGCATCCTTGAGCGTCTGGGCCTTGGTCTTCTCGTAGGCAGCACGGTCACGCTGATTCTGCTCCTCGTAATCGGCGCCGAGCTTCTTGACCTCCTCCTTCCTGAAGGCTCGCTCCAAGTGGTCAACACGCTTCCACACAATGCGAAGCTTCTCGGAAACGTCGTTCTTCTCACGCTCGAGCTGAGCAACCTTCATGGCCCGGATAGTGTTAGGATCCAGGTTGTCAAGATCTTCCAGGTCGAGATCCATATCCTTAGGGCTGATCTTGAGATCGGCGATCTGCTTCTTGAGCTCATCCTTGCGGACGCGGTCACGCTCAGCCTTGAGGCGACGCTCCTCGCGCTCCTTCTGTTCGGCGGCGAGGCGCTTGTCCTCCTGCTCCTGGAGGATCTGCTCACGCAGGCGCTTCTGGCGGGCGTTCTCACGCTCCTTACGAGCCTGGATCTCGGAAGCCTCTTCCTTGCGCTTCTGGATGACGTCCTTGCGAGCAAGAAGCTCACGGTGCTCCTTCTCGGCGCCGGCCTTGGCACGGGCCAAAGCGGCCTCCCTAGCATCGACGCGGGACTTGTTGAATTCAGGGTCAATGTAGAAGCAAGTGGTGTACAGAGACTTGGTGAGGCGGGTCAGCTGCGAGCGGACAATCTCAGAGGGGGTGCTCTGGAGGCGCTGGACGGAGCTGCCATCAGCCTCGGCGGAGCCAGCGCCAGATGCAGAGTGAGCAGCCTTGGCGGACGAGAAGACATCGTTGTCGAAGCTGAGGACACCAGTAGCGTGGTCCATGCGGATGGCGAGATCGCCCTTCTTGTTTCCGTTCATGATGAACTTCTCAATGGTACCGCGAGTGACCTGGAAAGGCTCAGGGAACTTGGCCAGCTGCTCGACGAAGCTGAGGTCCACCGTTTCGTAGACCTGAGACAGCTGCTGGAAGAGGCGGGTGAGGATGACCTGCTGCAGAGGCAGGACATACTTCTCCATCTCGGCATCGTCACCAATCTTGGTAAGAATGGGAGAGATCTTCTGGCAAATGGAAAGAGGGTGGAAGTCAACCTCAAGAATGTTGTAGAGGTCGCGGATCTCAGGGCGGGCGCGCTTCAGGAGCGACTTGGCCAGAGCGTCACGGAACAGGGCAGC